CAAAAAATCTTCTTCATAAGGTACTGCCTGCTATGTTTGTTTAATAATGCTGATATTTTTATGTCTCATCGTTTTCATTGTATTTTTCTGCGCCCTTTTCTTCAGCTCACATCACTATCAAAACCAACGTATGCAGTTTTGTCGTCACTCTCACAATATACACTTAAGAACCGTACGCCCTTGTAAAGTCTTTGTTTATGGTTCGATTTTGATTTTTTTTCACTGAAAGACAGTTACGATTTTCTTAAAGTTAAATATGATTAGAGATAAATAGATAAGTGAACATTCGACAGTCAAATTCACTCCCTAATTCATATTTTAATTTTGTTTACATTATGTCTTTCGAATACTAAGATTTATTAATGCTGTTGTTTTAAGATGATACTAAAAAAATTAATGTCTCTTAAAAAGTCTTTTTTATCATTATTTTGGAATTTTGTATAATTAAAATTTGTAAGATCTTAAAATCACACACAAAATAATCGTTATTTACAAGGTTTAAAACATTTATTTTTTTAAAACATCAAAAAACTTTGGTCATTGGTCTAGTTACTTTTAGGCAGTCCTCAACACGAATCTGTTGTCATTTTCAATTTGAAAAAAATCTCTAATAGCACTTCTCGATTTTCCGCTTCAAAAAACCGTGTCAGTTAGCCGATGCTATACGAAAAGACTGCTTCATTTCTCTTTAGATCTATCCAGCAAAAAAGAGTTATCAAAATTGAGCCGTAAACAAACATTCTACGTCGAGCCGCCCGTGATATTTCGAGCAACCTGTATTCGAACTTCATGAAAATTACTATAGTTAGGTTTTATGTAGCCCTGGATAAGAATTTGTTGACATTTTATTCTGAATTCCCTACCATGACTTTAGGTTGATGTAAAAAGAAACATACGGTTTTAGAGCGTTTTTGAGAGATCCATCCAAGTAATCAAAGATTTTACAAATTTTTAAGCGGGGCGTAAACGATATTTCAAATAGCCTGTATTGAAATATTATAAAAATTGGTATTGTTGGGTTCTAAGTTTTCTTAAATATGAATTTGTTGCATTTTTTTTTTTAATCCGCTCTATCTTTTGCTCAATAGTCCCATAAACAAAGTTTGCACAAGGGTGTACAGTTCTTGAGTGGGACACACTGTATATATAAATTTTTAAATTCACATTTGATAAAAACACGGTGTTGTCGGAACAATTGTCATGTCAAAATAGATAATTTCGTGAAAATCTGAACTTTTAGTTCTTATTTATTTTGATTTTTAAATTCCGTAAGTTCTATGGCTCCTTCATTCACTTTTAGCAATATCATCAGGACTCGGCGGATTTCATTTGGTATTTTTTATCTTTTCTGTTTTTTTTTCTTAATTTTATGTCGTGCTAAGAAGTCATCCTTGTAGATAGCAACAGCTTGCTATATTTTGTCATCATATTAATTACATTTTTATTAGTGTCATCGTCTCATTTTTCTTCTTCCGTTTCCTCAGCCTTTGTTGTAGTCTTTTTTTTAAATTTAACAATTCTATTTGTCATCCAGTTCAGCAATATCATCAGGATTCGGCCATATAAACCACAAATTTAATTTAGTATTTTTCTCTTTTTTTTTTTTTGAAATTTTTCTCGGAAACCTGACTTCTATTCTATTTCTATTTTTTGCATCACCCTTTTCGGCTGTCGTACTGGTTTATTGGAACCACTACCTTTTCTCAAATGAATTTGTGGAGGGAAAATACATCTATTATAAACATTTTTAGGTAAATTTAAAAATTCTAAAACATTGCAAAAAAAAATGCACGTTAGAATTCTAGGCGGCTCTCTCCTCGAAGTGGACTGTCCAAAACTTAGCGAAGTGCAGATTTATCGATCGAAATCCGTTGGGCTATATTTTAAGCGAGGATGGTGAGCGAGATATTTTATTTCCACGGTTCCTGCGATTCACCAAGCGTCTGCAATAATAGAACGGAGATGAAAATCAGCTGTTCTCGTTTCTCTTTCAAACGTCGACAGCTGCTACCGAAAGTTGGCGAATTTAAATAAAATGCGAACTTTGTACGTACCGAGTGAAACAAGATGTAGTTTCCCCCATACCTTTCTTCACGGCTTTAAATATGTTGATTTGATTTTATAATATAATTTGTTACGATATTCACCGTGAATTGGCAGTTCTTTGCTAAGTCTTAGCCAGCCATGAATTTGTTACTAAGCAAATTTTAATGGCTAAAAGGCTATTTATTTATTTATATGTCACAGGCCATTCAACAAAATCGGGAAAATGAGCAGTAAATTTCTTATCTCTACAATGAAAACAAAAGTTGAATTTAAATATATTATAAGGCTTAAGCTTATATGTTTCTATAGCTATTCCGTTTAGAAATTATTACATTTACAATTATTACAAGTCCGTGGACATCATATTGTAGGAGAGTTAGAAAAGTAATTCGACCTAAATCGCTCAATGATCGCTTAACTTCCCCTAAATCCAGTGTATTTTTGTATTGAAAAATTTGACGGTCATGTTGGAACGGAACGTTCAAATATGGCATATTCTATTTCGGGATTTCTATTTAAAATTATTAAGGTTGACATCACTTTTGGTTATACGAGGTGTGTTCAAAAAGTATCGCGAATTTTGAATTTTCGCGGGTTACGTATATTCGAATTTCGAATTTTTTGTGGCGTCATGTTGGTACTCATGTCTCTCATTTATGCCGACAAGCTCGGCCATTTTGAATGTTCATTTAATTGTTGACAGCTGTTTTGCTTGCACGTGTTTTGGATCGTCTTCGATTTTTGCCTATTCAAAAAAATGGATCAAAGAACCTGTATCAAATTTTGTGTGAAAAACGAAATTAAGTGCGCGGATGCATTCCGAATGTCGACTGTGGCATACGGAGAGGCTACCTTGGACCGAAGCAACGTTTATCGGTGGTACAAAATGTTCTCAGAAGGCCGAGAAGATGTGAACGACAAAGAGCGTGCCGGACGCCCGAGCACTTCAACAACAGACGAAAAAATTAACGAAGTGGAGAAAATGGTATTGGCCAATCGTCGAATCACCGTTAGAGAAGTTGCTGAGGACCTAAACATATCGATTGGCTCGTGCCATTCGATTTTTATCAATGATTTGGGCATGAGACGGGTCGCCGCGAAATTCGTACCAAAATTGCTCAATTGTGACCAAAAACAGCATCGCATGAACGCGACGGCCCAAATTTGCTCCAGAGGGTCATAACTGGTGACGAATCGTGGGTTTATGGTTATGACGTGGAAACCAAAGCTCAATCATCTCAATGGAAGCTGCCGCACGAACCAAGACCGAAAAAAGCGCGATAAGTTCGGTCGAATGTGAAAGTTTTGCTGAGAGTTTTCTTCGATTGCAGGGGCGTGGTGCATCATGAGTTCTTGCCACAGGGAAGAACGGTCAATAAGGAATATTACCTGCAAGTTATGCGCAATTTGCGCGAAGCAATCCGCCAGAAACGCCCGGATTTGTGGAAGAACAAAAATTGGCTTTTGCACCACGATAACGCCCCTGCTCACACATCGTTGCTTGTGCGCGACTTTTTGGCCAAAAACAACACACTAATGATACCGCAGCCACCGTATTCCCCAGATCTGACCCCCTGTGACTTTTCTTGTTCCCTAAACTGAAGAGGCCCATGAAAGGACGACGTTACGCTTCTCTTGACGAGATAAAGACGGCATCGAAGGAGGAGCTGAAGAAGATAAAAAAAGAATGATTTTTTGAAGTGCTTCGAAGATTGGAAAACCCGTTGGCACAAGTGTATAATATCTCATCGGGACTACTTTGAAGGGGACAAAATAGATATTCATGAATAAATAAATAATTTTTGAAAAAACCCAAAATTCGCGACACTTTTTGAACACACCTCGTATGCCCTCCTTACCCTAATAAAAGTTGAAATGAACATGTTAAAAGCTGTAGAATGTCTTGTGTCATCCGGTACTGTGGTTTTTGTCTATACCTGACAAACAGACAAATACGAAAGATTCACGCTTTTAAACTTAACACCTCGAATCGTTGGTTTATTATAATAATGAATACAATAATTATTATACATGATTATAATTGTATAGATATTCAGATAATTATGATATTAATAACTCTAAGATCAAGTCAATAAAAATTTATACTGTAATAAATATTATCATTTAAATAATCTACAATTACAATGCAGCTGGAAGTAGACAGCAACATCAGCAATGTCTTCATGATAGGCAGGCCCCAGTCTGCTTTGCTTCAAATGCTAATAAATTACAAGTCCAACAAAACCATTTTTGCTGTCAGCGTGAGAAGTTACTTTTACTTAAGTTATTTTTTACCTTATCTCGCGGGTGATTTTATTCCAATGAAAGCTTGCTTCATTCTGCTTAAATTTTTATCCTGACGTGTTTTACCAACGGTATATCCTTCATGTAACTCCTCTCAAATATTTATTTTGATAAATGGATTTTCATCAAGTAAAAGCCACCTCAGTTCAAGAAAATTCTTTTCCTTCTGGTTAGTAGGTTCATGAAACTTGCTGTAAAATGTACGTAATGGTGAAGATGCGGGTATTTTGTGTTGACGTGGCCCTTAATTTTCAAAATTGGCGTTTGCTTAAGCTCTCGAGGGCGGTATAAATTGCGAGAGACGTGCGGAATACAAATTATCCGACGATACGTAACAGTTTATAACATAAAGTTTAAGGTACGACGTGAATGATCTCTGGCGTCGTAAAAGTTGCGATGTAAAGGTTTATTGCAGTCTGGTTTTATTGAATCTGTATTCGGAGGCTGCCATCCAGTGGTTCCCGGACCGCGACGTCATAAACGATCTATCTAATTTCGTTTTTATTCGATTTTAAGCATACTCCTGCGGGACCGTTCAAACCCGACTCTGACTCGAGTTTTTTTCAGTTTCGATCGGCATTTTTTAAGTTTTCTTGATACTGCTTACTGGCAACGGGGGGGACTTTTAAAACACCCCATTTCCATTGCAGGATCTTAGCGGCGGCAACAGCAACGATAGTTCGGGGGGTCCCGCACCTGGTACTCCCAATTCTCAGGGTATGCGGCCGACGCCATCGCCTACCGGCTCCACCGGCTCCAGGTCCATGTCGCCCGCCGTCGGTACGTATAGAATTTGACAATTATAATAAAAAAATGTCACAGTGTAAATTGGACCGATTGAAATTACAAAAAACAAAGAATTGACATTTTCAACAATCATATTCACCAAACATTTTAATTCGTGAGTTTAATACGAGTATAATCGTCAGAATTCCAAGTTTCTTATTGTTCTTAGGGACGAATTAAAATTATCAACAAACATTTATTTTATTTGTGATGTTACTATACTACAACTAGAACTCCTCTTTTTTTGCCTTAGATCTGATATTCCAATGTAAACAATACTTTGGTGCTTCAGCTGAATATCCCGATTTAATGTTGACAATCTAATGATTTCAGCAAAACTTACAAAAAATTAAAGTATTTGATCCTAATTTAAATTGCAACATTTTAATTCGTCAATGGTGGAAATAGCAATTATTTCAATTCAGTTAATATCAAAAATATTCGTTTTTTATTTGACAAATAAAATTAATGTAAAAACACGGAATTCTGATATTTAAGACATTACAAATGTTTAGGACGGTCATTAAATGAACGTGATTGCAAATTTTGCCCAACTAACCAAAAATTGCAGAGTTAACTTTAATAAAATATTGTTTTACATTAATTGTGGCATAAAAATTGTTGTATTAAGTAGTAAAACGGCATCTATGAAGAAACATATTACATGTTCAATTTTATTCGACGTTTAGGTATAAATTTAAACAACCAGATTATATAAAATATGCTATTTAAACATAAACTAAAGACAGTTAAATTAAAATCATTCGGTTAGAAAAAATTTATGGAAATTGCTGGCGCTTTATCGATGGATCCAATTGACAACTATAAAAAATTTGTTGGAAAACTTCATGTTAGAAGTAAATCATGTGTTATTGCTAACTGATGTTCTGATTTGATGTCGAGTAAAACGTTTTTCCGTCGATTTGATTTCAGGCCAAAACATTCCTATGCCTCCACGACCGTCCAGCGGTCAGTCGGACGGCGGCGGCGGCGGCGGCGGCGGCGGCGGAGGCGGGGGAGGCGGCAACGGCGGTAGCGGCATTCCGACGCGCATGAGTCATTCGCCGATGCCGACGGCGGGCGGCTACGGCCAGCCCGGCTCCCAATCTCCCCATCCGACGTCCGCCTCCCCCCACGCTGCCTCCGCCTATAAAGTCATGGTTCCGGGGGCGGGTGGGCCCCCCGCGACGGGACAACAGATGCCTCTCTACCAACATCAGCCGGGACAGTACCCGCAGGCGGGGGGAGGTTATCCACCCAGACCGTCGGGAAATGTAAGTTCCCTTCGTATTAAATTTACGACGCGATGTCGACGCTTAGACTTTCCCTTCCCCCCCCCCCCCCCCTGCGCCCCTTAACGGAGAAAAATGACACAAATCGGAAAACGTAATTCCAAGTCGGATAATTGGTATTAATTAAAACCGGCCGTTAAGGAAAGGTGGAAAATATGCCGGTAGCGGTCGAGATCGAAATTGTTTAATAAACGGTTGGATGTTATCTAACCGTTTCTTTAAAATGATTAAAAGAACAACCAACATCGTGACGTTGCCAAGAAAGTGCCTTTTGAAATTTAAAATAACATATATAATATAACAGGTTTCTACAGCTATTGCCGTCTTTCCGTCTCCAATTTCCATGGTTTCCTATCGAAAACCACATCTTCACTTGGTCGTACCCTTTATCTTCTTTCCAGTGCCGTCGATTCTGGCGCATTTCTGGGCCATCTGTCAGCATTCATTCGCGTTTCATGTCCAAACCCCGTTAGCTGCCCTCTTTTCAATGTCTCATATTTGCGACTAGGCTACTATATATGCGCTTCTTTGAGCCCCGTTGTGTTTTTCTTATTAAATATTATTCCAATATATTTACTACATTTTACTCCTCTTACGGTATCAATATCTAGATATTGATTGAATAAAGAAAGATCACACTCATCGACCCATTAGACAAGTACTTCTTATTTATGATTAAAAAAAAAAAAAAACGTTAACTATTTTAAGAAAGATATGAGTGAAATAAGAAGAGAAACGTTGCTTATCATTTTGGTTCACAAAATCATGGGAAAAAATTCTGGGCATTTAACTAATGCTTTTAAAGGCCAAATGATCATGCCAAACCTAAAAATGTCTATGGCCAACCTCCTGTTTCGCCTTGGGGTTATAAATAGGGTACGGTCCGTTTCGAGTATTACAGGTTTAATGTAAAACCCATAGTCGGGGTGAAAAGGCGACCTGTTCGCCATTCACTACTGGTTTGTTTATGTCGGCTGCAGGTTTCTCTGCATTTTGTCAATGATCAGACGGGACGACTCCATTTAAACGACAACGCACCGAGACAGAACAACAATCGAACGAAATTTGGAAAAAAAAATCGATAACGACGCCATTAGGAATTCCGGTGACTGTAAATGAAGCAGTAGTCGGACTGACAAGTGTCAGAGTAACGAAATTGCGGTTGCAATAAAATCTAATTTATGGCGTTTTATTGTTCCCGTTCCACTGACCTACCTTTCGTGTCGAACGTCGCGCGTATTCAGAAAGGGGACGATTTTTAAAACGAGACGGGTTTTTATAAAATCATCAACCAACCGGTCCAATTTTTTTGCTACGAGTAAATAATATATAGGTAGGATTAGTGTTGTGGACTTGACCAGTTAGACTTTTTGGTGTCAGTCAATTGACCGAAATAATTTAAAAAAAATTTATATGTTTATATTGTACGCTATGTGCTGTCGCGTCGTTCTGGAAACTAAATGGAGTCGATATTTTATTGGGACTCCCCGGATAGCTAACTATGGTATTCGGATATTCCTTGAATAGGGTTATGGTTAAATTGAACATCATAATGGCATAATAATTTATTAGAAAATACATATTATTTTTATTAAATAATGATAGATAACACTCTACAATTGGAAGATGTTATTTAAAACATTTTGATCGAATTTGACTAGTCAATTAAGAAGTGGTCAATCGACCAGCCTCAATGCTAGGTCAGCTGTTCAAAATTTTTATTTCTTATTTTTACTCTTCTTTGTCCTTCGGAAACACTACACAGAAATCTCCAAAAGGTCTTTATAGATTTTTAATCTACTTTCCTTACATGATATGACCTTTGAAAAAGCTAGTGTAACTAGAAGAAATAGACGGAAATTTATTTACTCAAAAAATGAATGGATTTGCGGATGTAACAGAAACAATGCCCTATATTGTTTTCTTTGCTTTTGGGTGGACATTAAACTTGGATAGGAATCGCCGATCTGTCATCTAAGTTTGAAAATAAAAAGACATGGAATTTCTGAAAGCCACATTCATAATTGTACGGATTTTCTTTATTAGGATCAACCAATATTAGGCTTCAATTAGGTTTTGCTTATTGCGTAAATATACAGAAACATAATAAAAATGTCGAGAAAGAGATACATTTCATCAACCTCCCCCCCCCACCCCAACCTTTGCGGCAAGAATTTTTTCACTATAACCCAAAATTAATAAAATGTTTATAATTAGCCTTAGCACTTAAAATTAAAAAAAAATATATGTGTGCTTTTTTTTGTTTTTTCATTTAATCGAAATGTTGTCGTTTCAGTTTGGTCCGGGACAGGCTTACGGTCCATCGGGCCCTCAACCCCCGTTATCGAACAACATGCCCCCTCAGCAATTTCCCGGCCGGTCGGGTCCACCGAACCACATGCAAAACTCCCAATTTCCCCCCTACCAGCAGACGTGGCCGACGTCGGTGTCTTCGCAGAATCAAAAGGGTACCGCTAGCGGGGGTTCCAACGGCCAAAATCCCCCCTCGCAAGGGGGCCCCGGTTGTCAATCGCCCGGACCCAACATGCGACCGCCTCACTACCTCAAACATCACCTCCAACACAAAATGGGCTTCGCGGGTGTGGGACCTGGTTCCGCTCCTCCCAGTCCCGGGCCACCTCAGAGTTTCCACATGGGCCCGCCCGCGGGTCACCACCATTCCGGCATGGGACCTCCTCCGTCGATGGGGCCCCCGAATATACCGCCTTCTAGTAGTCCCCTGTTACCTAACAACCACCCCCACGACAGTCCCATGCCGCCGCCCAGTTCCACGCCCAATTCGCACACACAGATGGTGCCCGAAATGTTGGATAACGGGATCACCACCACCTCGCAGGGCTCGATGGGCACCCACGTGACAGCGGCAGCGGCCTCTGCCGGATCGGTTACGTCGGTGGTCACCACCGGCCCGGACGGAACGCTCATCGACGAGGGATCCCAGCAGTCCACGTTATCCAACGCGTCAGCGGGTAAGTTCGCTACCTCGTCGCCAGGGGGCGACACTGTGATGATTGGTTGGTTCGTAATAAATGCTCCAAAAAAAAAAACGGCTAAAGTGCGTTAGCAAAAATGTCGCTCGTTCGCGGGATACAGTTGAGGCTAGGTCTTGACATTGTTGATTATAGCTTGAGGCAGTTTTTGAAATATCGATATATGAAAACTGAGATGAGATGGCGAATACGATTCTATTTTTTCACATAACAAGTAGAGGGCGCTATTTCGTGGCATAGTTTTCTCATTAGTACCATTCCGTTACTTTGTTTTTAAAGGTAAAGGTAGGAAAGGTAGTATATTTATTTCGATGAAACATACTTATTTTTTTAAATATACTCACATCCACTAAACACTGGTCCCTATTTGAAACTTGATTTGCACCCTATTTCACTGGGCTTAGTCATATCCACTTGAAGTTATTTTTTATAAGCGTTGGCATTATTAGGATATAGAGTAATCGAAATCAAACAGAGTTTTTAGTGGTCATGACTGTAGTAAAATGCCAATAAATTTAGTATACCCTTTTTACTATCATAGTCTTCAAAGAAAACAAAAGTTGTGGTTTGAAATCGCGAGGTTATAGAGCATATATAGCATCTTGATTAAATTACTTTTTACCGTTTTCATTACTGGACCTCTTTCGCCCGGATTATCTGCGGTTTCGTTAACAATTTCGCCGTTTTCCGAATCGTTTTCGGCGCAGATATTACGCAACCCGACCGGGCTATACGGTTAATAATGAACAATTAATGATGCTCGCGCGATTAGCTAATTTATTTGTCGCAAATGTTGCGTCGGCAGACGTTTAGGCGCCGCGACGCGCGACCTTGTTGTAACAACGACTAATTTGTATCACCGATCATTTATTGATTGAAACTTTTCGACTCGCGTCATAATTTTTTTGTATTTATAAAAAAAAAAAGATTTAATGACGTTATTGAAATGTAAACGAAAATAAAATTTGGCAACGGGAAACGAGCGTTTCGATGTAATCCGCAAAAAAAAATAAATTTTACACGCCCAATAATTTATTACACTTTTTCATACGGGAACTTGACCTACTCAACACGAAGCGTATTGCATCCCAAACATGAGGCGTCGTCCACGTGTATATTTTAAACGATAGAGGCGGAGGCGATGCTTTTGATTTCAATAAATAATTCATTTCGCTCGCGTCTCTCGATTTACGTTTGACGAGGTCCTAATAAAAACAATTCCCCAGCGTCGGGCGAGGACCCCGGCTGTCCCCAGACACCGAAAGCGTCGAGGAAACACGAAATGGTGCATTACGGGCACCCGAGTACCCCGCAGAACACGGTACCGTCGCCCGGTGCCGCCAGTATGAACTCCATGCACGAGGATTACGGCGACTTGAGCAGTCCGAGCTGGCCCCGCACCCCCGCCAGTCCGGTATTATTATTATTATTATTGTTGTTGTTGTTATTCGTTTAACGCGTGTTGCGTCTACTGCGCCAACACTCGGGCCTTAAGTTCACCGGCCGGTGTTTTTTTTTTTTTTTTAACTTGGCAACGTCGCGGAGAGGTAACCAAAAGCGAGTCGAACCTGCCGGTGAGTTTAGGCTTTGATCGAGTAAAGGAGGGTAATACACGTGTGTCGTCGTGCGCCGCGTTTCACGTTGAAAATACAAGATGGTAAGACGGTTATATCGCGCAGTATTGTTCTCCAGTTTTTCTATTTATTATTTTGATGATTATATTGAAATTTTGAGCTAATTAGGGGTATTTGCAGGTGTTTAACAGTCATGTGCCTCCCCAGGATACATATCGCTCAAAGGTTGATATAAAATCTTTTTTTGTTTTTATTTCGTGCTAAAATGAGCTTGTCCAGTATGAAAACAGCATGCCGTCATATTTAGGTGCTTGTCACTGACGTTAACTGACCAACACGCAGTAAATTCGTTAATTAGCAAATTCCATTTAACGTTCATTTTTGGCTTTAGTTTTCGTTAATTTCGTATAGATACGCAATGCTTACGCTCACCTACTAAAAAAGGCATGCACTGTTTATTTTTTGATAAATGCTATCTAGTCAGTCCATGTCACGGCAAGTGGCGATATAAGCAAGCATTTATATTTCCATTATCGTAACGATAAAACGGGTATGAAACATTTTTAGTGCCGCTAGTAATACGACCTATCGCTTTTCATCCTCGGTGAATGGTGTTCGGTATACCGGCTGATAAGATTTGACGCTTTTCATTCACGTTGGTCAGTTAATGTTACGCCAGATGAATAATCTTCTCGCCGATTTTTGATAAATCGATTCACACACGAGAAGACGGATTCGCTTGGCGATTTTACTAACCGAGAACAACGTCCCTTTGTCGTCTACCGTCACATTATGTGTGTGGTGTATTTACAGAAAACTGACAGCCTCAGCAAGTTATACGAAATGGACGAGAGCCCCGAACGTAGGGCTTGGTTAGATAAGCTTTTGGCTTTCATGGATGATAGGAGGACACCTATCACGACGTGTCCCACCATTTCCAAGAATCCCCTTGATTTGTTTCGCTTGTATATGTATGTTAAGGATCGTGGTGGTTTCATGGAGGTTTGTACCCCTGTCACGTTCGTCTTTGGATCATTGAATTGAGTTAATTTGAATGAAATTAAACCAAAATTTTTGTGTCTTGAATTTTTATATAATATAAAAAACAATTAAGCTTGCATGTTGCTCGTTTTTATATTCGACTCCATGTTTTGGGCGGTTTCGACCGGCTGTTCGTAAAAGGCACTTTCCGCCTCCAGGTGACTAACAACAAGACTTGGAAGGACATCGCCGGGATGTTGGGAATCGGAGCGTCGTCAAGCGCCGCGTACACCCTTAGGAAGCATTACACGAAAAATCTTCTGGCTTACGAGTGTCAGTTCGACAGGGGCGGCATCGATCCGCAGCCGATCATCAACAAAGTGGAGGCCAGCAGTAAAAAGAAGAGCAACAAGGCCAGTTCGGTGCCATCGCCGGGCTCGTCGAATTCGCAGGACTCGTTCCCTCCGGGCGGGGCCGGAGGCGCCATGGATGGCTACGGCGGATACAACGGGTACTCGACTTCGAATAATCCTGAATATCAACCGCCCAGGCCTTCGTCGCAGTCCGCACCGTCTCCCCACAGCGGTGAGATCGATTTTCTTCTTCTTTTTTACGTTTCAAAACGTAATTTATTGCGATACCACATGGAAAAAATGAGCTACCCCGTTGTACATTATTTTCATTCGTTTTGTCGTCGTTCACTTGTTTCACACTGGTCCCACTTCTGATGTGTGAGCCTTTATTGATGTAAAACAGCAATAAATCCGGCTACAAATTGCATGTGTGGTTTGACGCAATGGCACGGAGGGTGACATCTACATTACATCCGTATTTTTATGTAATTATCGAATCGAATTTGTTTCCAAATTATCACGAACCGAAACACCGTCAACGTTTATCAAATTTTATCAAATTGAATCCCCAATAGATAAACAAATGTCGGGCGAACAGCGGTAGAAGCCGAGCGCCACGGAATCGTCCTTATCGTCTACTATTACCTCCAATTAATTTTATCAGTTGGCAAATAAGTTAAAATTTATCCCCGTCTTAATGCGACTGGAAATACGAAATTAATTTGCGCGTGTAGTGCGGGCGAATAAAAAAAAAACGCGCTTTGGGCCACCGCGTAGTAAATCGCGCGTTCGCGATCGAAACGTTTTTGCAACGGTAAACATTTTTTTTTTAAAACATCAATCGGGCGCGTTGTCGTTTTTCGATACTTATCGGATGCCACCGCGTTTCGCTTATTCGATACCATGGTTCGTGCGTTTGACAATTTAAAATGTATTGGGGAAACAATTTCAACGTTTACCATTATTACGAAGGTAGGTTGTTCGTAAACTAAGTGCAAATATTAAATATCGGACCCGTTAGTTTTTACGAAACGTGACTAGGTAGTATATTTAGCCTTTAAATTTGTTATTGTTGTTAATTTTGATGTTTTGTACGCGTTGCCGCTTGTTTATCGCCGCTGTTCGAATTTATTCCTATTTTAAGTTGTATTATTTGCCAATTTCCCGAAGGTATTTGCGAGAATAAGTAATTTGTCGCCATTTTATGATTTTAGCTTGTTCTCATTGATTTAACCTTTTGTTAGTCTGATAATTTTAATACTAATCGTAGACGTTCACTAATCCCAAAGAAAAACCAGTTTAACAAATGAAAAACAGTGAATGTATTTTATAACCATATTGGGTCATAAGTGCAGCCTTCTAAAACTGCAGCAAACGTATCAAATACTGGTTATAATTAATCTATAACCTGTAAGGTGTGAATTATACGAGCAGCCTCCTCAAAAATGGTAACCACCCTGTAGTTATAATTCGACGTTCCTAATCCCCGACGTTCAAAGAACAAACTTTTCATTTTTCGACCTCCTTGAAAGGCAAAGAACAGTAGTGTCTATTCTACATTCATTCATTCATTCATACATATCTTGGGTTTCTTATTCAACCCTGACATCTTTAACTAAGTCTTTTCTAAGGTCTTTTCCGTCGTACGTTTTGGCATGGTTAAGAATTATTTGTCTTTCAGACGCACTTTCTGAATGCGACACAAATCCGATATGCTGACTCATTCAGAAATAAAAAAAGTTTTTTTAACGATGTAGATTAGGAACGTCCCAACTGGAACTACAGGATTTTTATTATCTGAGACGAGGCTTCGAAAAAAGAAAATTATGAAAATGAACAGCATGGTTTGTTTATTAATCTTCGAATGTTTTATTTTATTAATAATTTGATGAGACCAAGAAAAAATAAATATTTTAATTTTTTTATTAAGTGAAGCAATTATTTAAGAAATTTAAATGTGTGACACATTCAGGTTGTTTGTATTTTATTATTTTATAGAAAAAAAAGCGAAACTTGTGTCTAACCACCATGCTTCGTTTAGATTATCCAATATGTAAATCTCAAACCTGCATCCTGAAATTTTCGTGTACGCCTAGAATTACAAAAATCAATTCTACGGAAATCGAAACGTGAAAGATAGTGACTGTGTGACTGGAACGATTTTAGGGTGGAATATGCTAATTGTAATTTCATTGTGACAAATTTGTTGTTGTTAAGACAATTACATTTTTAAATTCCATTTTGTCACTGCCAATTTCGATGTAAACATTTTCCAAAAGATTAGATCCGCATGGTCTTATTAAGATATATCCTTGTCGAAACGAGAGACAATGTGTAATAGTGAACTTATTGAAGCATTAGGTGTGACTCGTGTAAGAGAACCATTTGTTTGGTTTCAGCAGGGTCAACCGGGGCCAATCATCTGAACAGTGCAGCTCCCGGTGGTCCTAGTCCCGCAGGCGGGACCGGGGATAACGTAAGCGTTTCGAATCCGTTCGATGACGTGTCTCCGAGCCCATCTCCGCGAGGAGGACCGTTTCCGGGCGGTCCTCACCCGCCCTATCCGACCGGAACACCCCCAAGAGCGCCCGCAGGTCAGAATTATTCCGGTCAGCCCGGCTATCAGTACCCCGGTCCGGGGCCTGGCCAAAACGCCCCACCAGATCAGTATTCCCCCTATTCCAACACCCAAGGTATTGTTCTTAGCAATTCGACTTAAAGTTTGCACATTTATCGTTTTATTTATATATTTATTTTGTTTTTATGCATGTTATTGAGACCTTAACGATATAAACAGGTTATCCGCCCGCTGTAAGACCGGTCTATGCTCCATATTCAGGTGATTCGTCGGCCGCCGCGCCAGGTCAGCCGAACAGCGGTCAACCGGCGCCCTCTGGCGGCGGTCAGGATCCTTACAATCGCTATAACGCCAATCCTGCGGGCGCGTACGGCCCCAGGCCGCCCTATGCGGGAAGCCAGGGCGGTAGCGGGCCGCCATCTTCGCAAGCGAACGCACCGCCGGGTTCTTATCCGCATCAGGATTATTACAGACCCGATCAGGTAACCTAAAACTGCTTCAAACCCCTACCCCGTACGTTAAAACGATGATTTCAGAACGCTAATAGCGGTTACGCTGCGGTACCATCGACTTCGAACAAGAATATGCCTCCTCCAGGGCCGCAACCTCCGCGAAGGCATCCTGATTTCGCCAAAGATCAACCGTATCCTCCGTACGGGCAACCGAGGCAACCCATGTATGGTACGTTTTTTTTTCTCAGATACGCGGAGTCTCTGACGCAGTTATCTTAATTTACCACTCACATAAGCTAGACAACAACACTGTAACTGGAATTAAAGAGAGTTGTTTGTGTCTTGCAAATTAATTTCTAGTGATTATATCTTTATTGCATAAGAAATAAAACTATTACAACAAAGTATTACATGCTCAATAACATCAAATCACAACCATTATTATTATTATTATTATTATTATTATTGGTGAAGTTATTAACAGTCTAGTCAAGTCTGTTAATTTTGGGGGTCTATGAGAGTCCCCGCAATAAGAAATAATAATTATTATGGAACTTTAATTTCTGAAATTATGTTAGAATGTCAAGAGGGGCTTTTGAGGTAGATAATATATTCTTTGCTTATAATGAAGAATAAAAATAAACCAAGTTGCTAAAAAATCTTATTGCATTAGTCCCCAACTTTGTAATTTGCTTAGAATTAATTTTCATGTATTACATAAATAATCTTACAGATATTTGAGGTATTTACACTGATGTTTATGTTAAATAAGGTTTCGAGCCACTTAACCTGAGCGATCGTAACTTTTTTCCGCTCAATCAAACAGTGAGCCGTTCCAACAGAGCAAATCGATTTTTGATACTTGGAACAGTGTGCTCATTCATCAGTGTCAACAGTTGTGAAAGTTAAAAGACATCCAATGGTATCTATAGTACACAAGATTTGTTAACTCGATTTTTTAAGCTTATCTATCGTTAATACCGATGTTCACTTGGTGTGCACCACTGCTTTGAAATATTAGTTATGCTAAGTAACTAGGTATACATCCTATTGCTTACCGCATATGAAAATATGAATGAAAAATTTCTGTAACATGATCACATATCAAACACAAACATTCTACCTTCTGTATTCTATCCCTAAAATTTGTATGAAAAGAACATATACAATATTAACATAAGCAGGTATATACAATACCAAACTTCCTCAAAGCAGTGTTTTAACATTAGTTGGAAGAGCATTTTTAAATTCATAGATTAACATGTGGGTTAAAAGAAATCAATCAATATCAATTTTTGAAAACAAAATTTTCGGTAGGACTTACCACTTTATATAACCAATGCGAATTTTATAGTGATTATACTTCCTTAACACGCGTAAGTGTATATGTGGTCTCTAGGTGGCTGGCCGAACAATAATCAATACCGTGCTCCCCAATACGGCGCCCCCGGGAGCAATCAGGGCGCTCCTCCGCAGCAGTGGAACCAAGGCAATAGAAGTGGGGGACCGTGGCCCAACAACCAGGGTTATCAAGGCACACAGCCCGGTCAACAGCAGTGGCAGCCCATCGCAAGTCAGGGAGGTCAGTCTTCGCCGATGAGGCCGGTGCACAGGCCCGGGAAGCCGTTCCCGCCCATTATGCCACCGGCCGGAGCCAGCAAAGGGCCGCAGCAGCAAGTCAGCAATTCGTACGGACATAACCAACTTCCGAAACGAGAGATAACGTTCCCGCCGGACAGTGTTGAAAACGTCACCCCCGTGTTGTACAGGAGAAAGAGGATGTGCAAAGCGGACGTAGCTCCGGTGGATGCTTGGAGATTGATAATGTCTTTACGTTCCGGTTTGCTGACGGAGAGTACATACGCTCTGGATATGCTTACCATTCTTCTGTTTGACGACTCGTCCGTGGGATATTTTGGACTGAGCCAGTGGCCGAGTCTTTTGGATCTTTTGCTGGAACATTTCAAAAGGAACTTGTCGGACATGTTCGACCACGCTTACCCCAAGGAGGATAAGCCGGAAACGATCGACGTGGACTTGGGAGGGGTCGCGAAACCTATCGACCCAAACGCCAAGACTCTGGTACTATCCAAAACCACAAATTATACGTTGATGTCGCGCAGAGGCGATCCAGTCAAGTTCGTCGACCGCAGTGATGATATCTTTGTGCAAGATAATTTGAGGGATTGGGATCTTCACGGTGAAACGAACGCCGCGACTATAGTCGCGGAAATACCAGAAGATCCATGGCATACAGATGCCGAACGCATTCTCCCGAATTTTCAAGCAGAATTTGGTCGTATACCATTCCAAATGAAGTTGGAGGACAAGCGGGAGGTGTCCGGTTCGTCAAAGGAGGATGTGGTGGTGGTGACGGTGGAGAAGCTGTCGACTCCGTGTACCGACGAGGTGCCGCCTCCTAAACTTAGTGACAAAAAACATAGGACAAAGACATTAAGTGATGTGATATCTCGAATTAAAAAGGACTCGCCAGAGGACGATGTGCTCACATTAGAGTCGCCTACGAAGATGGACAGAGTAAAGACTGAGGTAGTGAGTGAGATGAACTGTGAAGAGTTAGCCTCGAGTGTAGATCTGAACGTTAGTGTAAACGGGGAGTGCAGTAGCAGTAGTGAAATGAAGAAGGCGAGGGAAGAGCCTGTTCACGATCCGGCCGGCTCATTGAAACGCAGGCGCCTCTCCGATTATGAGGATGAGTGTTATTCAAGGGACGAGGCCAGCTTGGTTCTTCTTACCGAGAGTCAGGATAATCTCGGCAAGCGATGTGTTTGTATATCAAACATTCTTAGGAGTTTGACGTTCATTCCTGGAAACGAAGTAGAGTTTGCCAAGAATTACAGCTTCCTGGCGCTCATCGGTAAACTGCTATTGCTCCACCATGAACACCCTCCACGTACCCAGAAGACTAGGAATTACGATCGCGAGGTAAGGGTTTAACAAGTTTCATAACAATAAAGGTGTTAATTAGTTGATAGATCTATTAATAAATAAAATATATTTATTGCGACAAAAGATGCATAAAAAATAGGAAATAAACGGCTGTCTTTTGAAGTGGTTGTTGCGAGTTGATATAATGACAAAATGTCATAATTTACTTGTAAATTTTTCGACGCAATTTGGGTATATAGAGTCACAGTCAAGATGGTTTTTATAGACACGGGGGGTAGGCATAAAACAAATGTTTGCATTGTTACAATCAAATTCAGCATTAAAAAAAACTTTATTTCAAAAACTAAAACTTAAAATTTAAACCTCAATCAAAAAGATTGTCCAGCTCCTGGATTTAGAAATTCATTGTTTTAAGAGTTTTTTATATTTTATTTTCCTATTTTTTCGATTTATATAGTCTTACATTTTGTTATATAATTTAGCAATTACACCAATTTCCAATTTGTTTATATAACCTAAGTATTTTACATTTTTTGTTAGTTACGCTCCACGTCTTATCTGCATGTTGGGTGCATCAATTTCTTGTTTTCTTAAAATGTCTACAAGTAATTTTTTTAAAGGATGTCGTAAATTTTTATTGTGAATTATTTTATGACCTAATTTAGAATAGTAATTAACTTCAAAAAATTAAAATTGTTTGCTCACACCCATCCGCAGTACATAATATAGTGTTTTGAATTTGAGATAGTCCATAAGGCAGAATGTTTACCATATTTTAATGGATTATGTGGAATGAAGATAGTAACCGTCTGGACAAATGGCAACCAATACATATATTCCATAAATGAATGTGTTAGAAGTAACTAAATTTCTTTGGATAGGAGATTCGACAAATAAACTGTGATGAACATTATTTAATAGCACCATCACTATAGGCAACAACAATTCTATTTTGGATTTCACAGGTTTCTTATTATACATAATTTCTTAAAGCGGAAAATTAGTAGAATGTAAATTTGCAATTAAGCAGATCATTAAACACAAAAGGTTATATCGTAACGTTCGGACAAATTGCACTGCTAGTTCTCCACATGGTTTTAGAAAGAAAAGAAAACACTTATATAGTAGTTAAGAATAATATGAAAATAGACAAATCATAAATATATATTCATCATGTTCGGAGTAGTCATATGGAACTATAGTAGTTGGAGTCCAGTTTTCTAGCACGTTATATATATCATTTCGTTTTCGTTTCGTCCAGATAATAAGAATTTTAAACAATTAGGGCACAAATTTTTTGTTTTCGCATTCTTCTCCATTATCAGAGCTAGTTGTCGTTACAGGAGGACGCCGATTTTGCGGACTCGTGCAGCAGTTTGCAGGGTGAGAGCGAATGGTGGTGGGATTTCCTAGCGCAGATCCGCGAAAACATACTGGTATGTATTGCCAACGTGGCGGGTCAAATAGACGTGTCACTGTACGAGGAACAAGTGGCGAGGCCGTTGCTCGACGGATTACTGCATTGGGCCATTTGTCCGTCTGCGACCGCTCAAGACCCGTTCGCTTCGGTGGGGCCGTCGTCTCTATTGTCTCCCCAACGCCTGGCACTGGAGGCACTCTGCAAACTTTGCGTTACCAACAGCAACGTCGATTTAGTCATAGCGACGCCGCCATTTTCCCGATTGGAAAGACTGTGTACAGTGTTGACGAAACACCTATGCCGATCTGAGGACCAAGTGCTGCGAGAGTTTTCCATAAACCTGCTCCATTATTTGGCAGCGGCTGACAGCAGTATGGCGCGCGTGGTCGCCGCGCAGACGCCGTGCGTCTCTTTACTGGTTGCGTTCATAGAACAAGCGGAACAGAGCGCTTTGGACGTGGCGAACCAGCGCGGTATAGGCGCGCTTAGGGACAACCCCGATTCGATGGGCACAAGCCTGGACATGCTGCGGAGGGCGGCAGCTACGTTGGTATTCCTCTCCCGGCACCCCGACAACAAGGCCCTGCTGGTGCAGCAGGAGTCTCGACTGTTGGCCCTCGTCATGAGTCAGATATTGGACCAGCAAGTGGCGTTACTTATTTCCAAAGTGCTGTTTCAAATATCACGCAGCTAATCCGGCCCGCCTCTGTGTAGATAAGATTACCGAACGAACGAGACGTAAGTCACCCTAAGCGGCCTTTGTTCTGGTGTACAGTTTCGAACGGTGGACCGTGGGTGTGTGAATGCGTGTGGTGTGCGACGCGAATGTATCGACCGACCGATGGATGTGACTAACCGAGACCAAGACTATAGGTACGAGACACCGATCTCCATGATAGCTAATGAATTCACATAGTGTAATCCACTAATTGTACCATTTTGTAAATTAAGCGACATATGTCTTTCTGGAAAATGTTAAACATACATCCATGTTACTTATTTTATGTTATTTATTAATTTGATATACGAACCGATTAATGGTACTACTGCTGCTGTAGCCGTTCAGCTCTCGAGTGGTCGCGTACCTCCCACCATCCCCCCACTCCTCCTCTCCCCCCCCATACCGGTGCAGGTACAGACAACAGCCGCGATTCACTTTCTATTATTTCATGTTTGGTATTACTGTGCGAATGCTTTATACATGTCTGATAATGAATTTGATTAAATAAATGTACAAAAGAAGTACCGAAAGTGGTGTTTTTTATACAAGTTTTGATTTTCTATGTATAGTTAGAAATGTTTTATACATCCCATTTTAGCTGTTACATTTAAATCTGTTATTCGATTTCGAACAAGGACGGACTGTAACATTAGAGAGGACAGTCTCGCAACTAGAACTCAAATGTAGTTTAAAATATGTGGTGATATTTTTCTGGCTGTAGGTATATTCATCTTATGTACGATTGCATATTGTAAAATAAGTAAATGCTAAATACACTATTTTCTCTTTAATTTATCATATCGTGGTTCCCGGTTGAGTAAAGGTAACAATGAGAGGTAGGTACTATTTCATTTATGATTCCCCGTCCCGAAAAAACGTGGAATTTGAATTAAAAATATTTTACGATTTTAGTCGCACCAAATTTTTACCCAAATACTTAAAAATTTATATATTTGGTGCCAATATATTTCCGTATTCTGCCCTTACCCCTGACGAAAGCTTTTTGATCTCATTAATTTTTTTTCCAATTATTAACTATTGGAAGCTGTATTATGTGGAAAAGGACAGCCACTCATTGTCCTCTAGAAGTAAAATCTTGCAATTGGTGTACCCTATTTGCACTTAAATAAGGCTCCGGGAATTAAGAGCACCCGTGAGATAAAATAGAGTCGAGAAACATCTAAATGATTCGTTAACCGACTAGAGCCAGGCTTCGTCTTTATGAAAAACGTGAGTCTTACTGGGCCATCTACAAATGGAAATTCGAAGATAAGAAAAACAGGTTTCTTTTTTATACATGCTGGCGACATCTCTGCGTTTGTGTCAAAAACTACTGCCTACCTTGGGAGTGTTAATTTTATACTTCCTTTAGGCTGGGTTGCAAATTTTTATAGTTGGAAGTAGTAGATCAGCGAACTAGAGGCAGGGAACCGTTGGTAGCTTTTGAGACCAACCCAAATCCTGCATTATTACTGTTGTTATTATTTAAAAACCAAACTTGATCATTATTGAACCCACATTCCTAATTGGCGATGACAGCGTTACTTGTCGTTTTGTAGTAGATCTATGCTTTAGTTATAACCTCAAAAAATTCAAAAATATTTTTACAAGTTTTAAACATTCGGCAATATTTTGCTTATGTGAATGTGTTTAGGGTGTAAAGAAAAAATTGTGCAACTTTATATTATATTTATTATATATATATTTGTGTATATTATATTATAGAGATGGAAGCTTTGAGGCCAAATTTGCAAGAACTTCAATTCTGCATGAAAGATCCTAGATGTATCAGAAACGTGTGTATTTTGGCACATGTAGATCATGGAAAAACAACGGTGGCAGATTTATTGTTAGCTACCAATCGTTTGATTGGTAAGCGTTTAGCTGGATTTCTTAGGTATTTAGATGATCGACCAGATGAACAGCAGCGAGGAATTACAATGAAGAGTAGTACAGTGTCCTTGCTAAATGTGATTTATGACGACGATACTCACAAAAATCGCACAGTACTCCTGAATTTAATTGATACCCCTGGGCATATCGATTTTTCTTCTGAAGTTGGTGCTGCGTTAAGGGTTTGTGATGGAGCAATTATTTTGGTCGATGTTGTAGAGGGAGTTTGTGTACAAACGCGGGAATCTATCAGCAAAGCATTTGAAGAGCAAGCTAAAATGATTTTGGTCATCAATAAGTTGGACAAGCTTATTACTGAATTAGAAAAAAATTCTAATGAAATTTTTCAATGCATTTTAAGAGTTATTGAAGATTGTAATGCATTTATAGCTGAACTGTATCAATATGCCTACTTGGATAACGATATTGATATTGAAGATACAGGTCTGTTATTTAGTCCTCACTCAGGAAATATTATATTTGCCAGCGCCGTAGATGGGTGGGGGTTCACTACTAAGCAAATTGCCAAAATGTTTATAAACCTTGTCAGAAATGAAACAGTGGACACTCTTAATGAAAAATTGTGGAACTTTGACTTGTATATCGATTCCAAGGGAGACATTAGATCTGGGGCAATTGATAAAAAGAAAAGTAGTCTCTTTGAACAATTTTGTATAAAACCAATTGAACATTTATATCAGACTATTGTTATTCGTTCAGAGAAGGATAAAATACCTAAGTTTCTTGAGAAGTTAGGTATAAGCAATCCATCTAGAGACATGCTACACAATAATGATAGTAAAACACAAATTCGCGAAATTTTATCCCATTGGAAGCCTTTAGCAGTGACTCTATTGCTTCAGTGCATTAGAATTATCCCATCGCCACATCAAATAGATAAAAATAAGGCCATATACTTGTTAAATCTGAACCGGTATATTGAAGATCCTTATATAAGTAACTGTATTCAATCAATTTTCCCATATTTTGAGAATTTGCCAACTGAAGCAAACGTGCCAGTAGTAGCTTATGTCTCAAAAATGTTTTGTGTAAATAAAAAAAACTTGTCTCAACATGCTCCAAAACAATTTCTTCCCAAACCCCGAAATGCTTTGCAACCAACAGCTGAAATAATGAAAACAACAACTTCAGCTACTGAAATATTAGACGAGGAAGGTGCTTTTACTGATGATATTGCGGTCATTGGATTGACTCGCGTTTTCACGGGAACACTTACCATAGGTCAACAAATATTTTGTTTAACTGCTGGTTATCTTCCCAAAGAGGAGTTATTATACAATGTTGACGAATTAATTTCAAAAAATAAATGTATCAGTTTAACAACAATTAAGGAATTGTATATGCTGATTGGCCGGGACTTGGTGTTTGTCGAATCTGTTCCTGCAGGGAATATTTGTGGAATAGGAGGTATTGAAGGCCATGTGGTACGAACGGCAACTCTATCTACTAAAGCTGACATTGTTCCATTAATAGAGCATCCTTCTCCGCCTCCTGTTGTAACTCACGCAGTCGAACCAGTTAATCCTAAGGATTTACCAATTTTGCGCAACGGTTTAAAGTATTTGATGCAAAGTGACTCTTGCGTGCAAGTTATGGTACAGGAATCTGGCCAAATGGTCATTCAAACAGCGGGGGACGTTCACTTAGATAAATGCATCGAAGATTTGACTTCTAAGTTTGCTAAAATTAAAATTCAAGTGTCAAGTCCGATGGTGTCCCTCAGAGAAACTGTTATCGGTCAATTAAACGAAAATATGGAAGAAATAAGTGTAATCACATCAAACGCACGGATGTCAATGTATATTGTTAGTTTGCCTCCAATAATTGTAGAGACCCTAAAAAACAACCATGAATTTTTGACAATGATCGAAGAGCACCAGTCAGGAAGCTTAATTGACATCATACGAAAATTCAATGCCAGTTCCAACGAAAAGACAGTCAAGCAAAAGACATTTAAAAATGACGTAACGAATCGTTCCTTGAAATTCGTTCAAGATCAGTTAAAATCAGCATTTTCATCTTGCGAGATTCCGTGGCGCCAATTAACAGAAAAAATTTGGAGTGTCGGCAAAGATAAAGACTGCGTGAACCTACTTATAAATGATATTGACGATTACACTCAGAATATATTCTTAGAAGCAAATATCTGCGATAAAAGGACCTTATTGGCAAATTGTATTATTAATCAATTTCATAGTTTTTGTAAGGCAGGACCTTTATGCGAAGAATCTTTAACAAATTGCGCTTTTATAACAAAAAGCTTCGAATTATTGAAAGATATTTTGCCTGAAGAGATCACACCCCAGCTCGTGTCTTCCGAAGAATCGGCGCTTCGTGGCTTGATGAAAAACTGTTTTGACAAGCAAGAGCAACGTTTAATGGAACCAATTTATACCACAAGCATACAGGTCACCACAGCTGTTTTAGGTAAGTGAAACATCTTTTATTGATTTCGGGATATTTGAAATGAACTCCACGCCAGGAAAATTATTTTATTTAAAGCAGGTATATACAAAAATTAAATTAAAATTAGTGACATATTTTTAGCTTCGCTATTAAATATACGTAGCTTTTTATGAGTACCATTTGATTTCGACGATTTAAAGCACCTTCTACCCAGAATAAGAATATAAAAATGTTACCTTTTATAGTTCCCACAGTTACAGACGATCCCCGTGTTATATACATTTTTAATCCAAAAATGTGATGTGTGTGTGTGTAATATGCCATAGATTGGTATATTTCCGGCTATGGACATATCAACACATTGGCAAACTTGTAAAAAGCCTTGCTAAAAATCCTACCACCTTAATGAAAAGTTGATGTTCCGAGATTTGCGAAATAAAAAAAAACCGGAGCATCCACCAATTTGTCACCAAATAAAAAAAAGTTTTATATTTTTTATTCGCACATCTACGTGCGGGGCGAACTATTATTTCTGTAATAAGCTAAAAGAATATTTTTTCAGTTTTCATATTTAATTTATTGAATCAATAGAACGCCCCACACTTATGATTATTGCACATAGCTATCAATAAATTAATGTTTACATATTTAAGCCGATCCCTTTTTCACATACGGATATCCACCGTTTTTCTAATGGTAGTCTTGGTTTTAATAATTAGTTCTTATTCGTGACATTGAGATCAAGTTAAGGCATGTTTTGCAATGTATCGTAACATAAAAAAGTACCTACTAAACAATATGGGTGGATTAAATAGTGTAAATGTAAAAATTGCCTAATATTTGTAATAAGTAATCACACGCATTTTTCAAATCGATTATTGCCAAATTGCACTCTTGGCAAGTTGCTGGGCTTGTTTCCAAAGAAACTGAGGCATTTTTTGCGATCCGGACGTCCTGTAGGAGCGTCCTCTACGTTTGTCGACGCACATCATGCCATATACACGAATTCCCGGTACACTGGCGTATGTCGGTTGGTCGTGAGACATTGGACCTTCTAGATGAAAAAAACAGCCAGCATAAGTCTTACATTCATTGCAAAGCATAATTTTTATACCTAATATACTATTGTCCGGGCACCTACATATAACTAGGTAGTGAGATTTCCCGGTCCTTATATTTTGAAGGGCCAAAAGAGACCAATCTCTGGGAGGTCTACATATACGCATTTCCGTCGTGAGTTCGCAGGTCTTTACCAAAGTTAACGCCTTCTAAAACGCAAATCGCCACGAGTTATAATTTAATGACAATTTGCTGCTGGAGATTTTAATGAGAAAATTAAGTGAAATGTGTTAAACCGATCTACGTTCGGTAATAAATAACAATTCTCGTTCTCCTTTTACGTGCCCTTAGCATAAGTTGGTACAAACCTACACGGTGATTTATTTATAACCTTCAACTCTTACCATTATCCTTTTAACACAATTATTGACATTTATGTTGGTCGTGAAAAGTGGTAGTTTGCAGTTCATTAAAACTTTGTGCGTGTGGAACATAATAAATCATGGTTTATCCAAAGGTTGATAATAATTATGCGTCGCCTATAACGACAATCAGAATTAAGTAAAATTTTGTGCAGTTGGTTTTCGTGATTTGATAGATGGAACCTACACACTTTTGCAATAATATTTTTGAAGAAATCAGCAGTGAAACTTTTCGTTCTGCCACGATCTACGTAGCAAATTGAAAAATGTCTTTATCTAATTAGCACTGGAAATTTTTAAACCTCTTTCTGTCGGGCAGTGAAAACAGAGAAATGTCGTACAAGACCATCTGTTGCATAAAAACGTTGACAAATTGCCTTAACTAGGAAATTGCACGGAAAGGAAAATTGGTTCATAAAATGTTGGTTCCAATGGCAAAAAATTACCTTGGACTTCTTATTGACCATTAATTCAGTGGTATGGTGATCGTCGGAGTTTAATGATGCCGAACATGGATCTCTGTATCTTGATGGACAAGCACATAGGGGTTGAGTCCAGTTCAATCTTACGTACACTGCGTTGCACACCTAAAAGTGTTTAAAATAATTATTGTAGTTCTGTACATAGATTTATAACATACTGTAGTTATGTTCCGTTTTGTATGTAAAAGTTCTCAGAAAGCTCGGGAACTACGTTGAATAAATAAATTAGTTTAGTAATTAAATAATTAGTAAATTTTATTGCCATGGGAAACAGTTCCATCTATCCCATTTTTTTTCTCTGTTCAAAATGGTGAAAAAAAAAACAATATTGAATTGAAATCGGTTAAAATTTATTCATAAATTCATTAATTTGAGTTTTATTGTAATGCAAAATTCATCTGTCTAGCCCCATATTTTTCTTTCTCCATTCCAAAATTTTGGTTTGCTTTCTGATTATTAATTTTTGCGATTTTTTTTCAGTTAAATTCAATACAGTAACGAATTTAGTAATAATAATAATTCATTTAGTTTTTTTTATTGAAGACATTACATAAAACAAACAAATTTTTCAAAACAAAAAAATGTATATCCATAACATTGGCAAAAAAAATAAAAATAAAATATGAGAAAATGTTGGAAGAAAGATCAACAGAGAAATAAATATTTTGCAAAACCTCGCTTAATTCATTCAAAAATGTGCAAAAAAAACATACAGGTGTAACAATTTTATAAAGCAGATTTAAAGCGATCCTTTAACATTTTGATGAATATACCAATGCTGCGGTGAATTGGGTTGAAATATTTTACTGCATTGTAACTAACTGATCTCTGAAACCGTTCTGATGGCCATTCTGTGCCGTGGAACACTCAGAAAATCCTATGATTTTTATCCGGGGCCCAAAATGTAACAAAAAAAAAACAAAATTCAAATCCTTTTTTTTTTCTTTCGCTGTCCAAAACGATGGTTTGTTTTCTGACTGCAATATTTCGTGATTTACCTGTTGAATAGCACATTCAGGCAGCAAATAGATATGTTGGTTGTGAGGGTAATAGTGATACTTTGTCGGCTTGACGAGGGCCGCACCCGCTCCAGCTGGTAGAGGTAGCAAGTTCTGGAACAGTAAACGACACACTCGGTATAATAAGTAGATTCCTCAGCGATGCATCGCCCATTCTCCATTAACAAGTCTATTATTATGCTCGCATACTTTAGCAAAAAAATGGTCGCACAGAGGCCGCATAAAGTAGTACATTTATCAGATGTTAAACATAATTAGATATTTCTTCGAATCTCGAAAGACGCTGCGCTTTTTCGACGATGTTATTATTGAAGATCCTTTTTCAATCGATTATCTTCCATTTCACGCCAATGGAATACCAACAAACAACCAAATTTTTATAAAACATTAAAAAATTTCGCCGTGGGACCATACCTATTAGGAATTTAGGGCAAATTACGCATTTCGTAAGAACAACCACAGATTTTTTTTTGTTTTATTAGATGTTATTAACATTGAAATAATTTCACGGTAAATCAAATAACTAGCAAAAACTAAGTGAATAATAGCCAAGCGGTAGCGGTCTATATTAAAATTGCGGCATTTGTTAACTAGGTGTGCAATACCAAACAGCTTCAAATTGAAAAAAAAATTGAAATGATGCCCGTTATATTTTAATGGTCAAACTTCTCAGGACAGAAATGACAATATTAACTACTCGATCCCATTACAGCGGAATAATTACAAGATGCCGATAGGAACAAATTCATATAATCACGTAGAAAAAGAAGTGGAAAGTATATAATTATCTGCTAAAAATGTGAACAAATTAATGGTACTGAGTGAATGTCAATTGAAGGAATTCCAATTTAACTCACAATCGGACATGTTAAATTATTATTGCAGAAGAAAACACGTTATCAAGCAAATTGCTTTAATAAGATCTGTACTATGTTGACTTTCGGCCGTCAAATCTTTATAAAATGTTTACTGTACGATATGCTAAATTTTAAGTGGATCAACATTAAACTTTTTTTTTATTAATTAACTAGAGAATATATGGATAGATAGGTCACCACCTGTAGTAGAAAAATATTAATTTGAAGTGTAAATTAAAAATAGAAATTTTTGAACGTGGTTTAGAGTGGAATTTTCGTGTTCGCCCTGAGCACATCAGTATTGGTTCACGTTTGAAATGGCGATGGCGTGTTAGCAGCCGTATACCGCAACCCGTTAGATTTTCCGTTTTCGCTGCATCTGCTAATGGCGATATTCTTCTTTTTTGTCGTCCCAATTTAACGGATTGCCAACCGAAACTTTGTGGTTACAGACAATTGTTCGAAACATATTGCAGATATACCGAGCGGTTAAGAGCTGCACTCGAGTCGAGTGATAAAACAAACAATGCCTCTCTAAAAGTAGCAGAACTATGAAAATAAATACTTTAACGTTATTAACGGGGTGTTCGCTAGCGTTGCAACGCGATTGTTCCTTTATCATAGTAATTATTAATTTGCGTTTTTATTTATAAATGGTGCATTTTCATTTTGTCTGTCAATAAAAAGTAAAAGCTGAAATTAATGTCGGAGACGTATACTTTACGGTTGCGTGTTTCATACGCCATTACCGGCCTTGTTTTAATGCTGAAAGGGCAGGGAGATTATAGTAATGATATTGCACTTTACATATTTCTCATGCAGGCGTTCGGTAATAATTTTATTAACAGAAACATAAATTTTACGTTTGACACTCGGCTAAATGTCTCGCTGTTCAAAATCAATTTTATTAAACGCTTGTAGGCTCATTCGACCCTGATGGTTCACACGAAACGATTAATTTAATTGGGCATAATGGTGGACGCAGATATCGAGTCAACGTTAAAATCTCAATCTCGTTACTTTGAAGGTAGACATTTTCTAAGAAATTTCCATTAATACACCATACAGGGTGTTAATTTAGTACTTGTACAAACTTTAAAGACTAATTTTACCAGCTTGGTTCTTGGGATACAGGGCGTCAAAAAAAAAACTATTTTATTTGGTTTTGATTATAATGTTTATTCAGTAACATGGAAATTAGACGATATTTATTGTTAGAGGGCGCCACATGCGGTATTGCTGCTCTATATTTTCCATTCTCGTCGCTAAAAGCAGCCTTTTTACTAAACAGATCACCAGATTTGAAAACTTTGGACTGTTCTCTCTGCCACGTATATTCGAAACACTTCGTCAGTAAATGTAAATGTAACAGGTAGTCATTTTCACCAATTATTGCAAGTGCTATCTATTACTTTGCTCTTAGTGTTGTAAATCATCTAAATTTGTTACTCAATAATATAATCAATAAAAAATATAGTTTTTCGCTTATTTTTCAAAAACTCAGCTTTTCAAATTCAGCTCAATTTTTCAAAATTCGAACCCTGGTTTAACTTCAAACCCACAAACAACAAAAAACGCTAAATTATTTTTGGTATATAAAATTTAAGGTAATTTAAGTCTGACTACTCAAAAATAACGCACAGTGCGCCACAACAAAGTAATGATTGCCTCACTACAGGAACAACACGGTATGTCGCGCCCTCTAACGTTAAACAGACAGCTAAGTTAATATTTCGGTTTCTCGTCATCAATATACCCAGTATTTCGAATTTCGAATTACCATGTTACTGAACGAAAATATAATCAAAAAACCAAATCAAATAATTCTTTGGACATTATGTATCTCAAGAACCAAGTCATTACAATTGGTACTATTTAACACGGGACTCCCTTAAATACGCAAACTTTGAATTAAATACGTAATTTAAATTATGCTAAATTTTCGAAAGGGTTCAAGAAAAATGCATTTGTACTTTCCTGTTGCCAAGGAATGAGGGTTATGTTTTTTTTCTTGTCCGTCTTTCGTATGACTTATCAAACAAGTGGTTGAGAATGCATGATTCCGTATGTAGCGTGGCCATTTTAGCAAGTCAAACTAGGTTGATTTAAAATCGGAATTCCCTTAGCGTCTTCCTCGTGCAACGATTTTGAATAAATTATTCGGGATAAGTAGTTTTAACGTCACAGCGCGACTTATTTGCGAATGAATTATTGCCCCGATATAACCGTCCGATACAGTAACTTAATTTGTTTTATACAGTCGGTAAACCTGTTTGTTTATAATAAATCATTAGGTTGTAAGAAAAAAAGCGCATAAACCTAGATGCCACGTAAAATACTTCGATGTTATTGATATGGGTATCAGATCGTGACTGTTACGGTTGATTTCATTTAAGGTCGTTAAGGCGGCCAAGTGGTTTCAATTTTCATGCTCGGCTGACCCTTTTGAAGTAACCTCTTTAACTTTACATCGTTCTCGATCGGACCACGTCCTAATTTAATTAGTAGGCCGTCGGCGCATCCACCATGGTGTCTCCAACCTCCCACTGTTCTACCGGGTAAAGCAAAAGTAACGGTGACGGTGATCGGTCGAATATTCAATAAACAAAATTACCAATTTAATGATGATATAACGGAAACCGAGCAACTGAACGTTTATTAATATCGAACGAAGTCGTTTTACACAGGAAGGCAGATTCCGTAAATAAAGGATGCTACGTCGTATTAACGGGGAATGCGGACGCAATGTTTAAATTACAAAATCATCAAATCTACTATATCACGCCTGGCCATTGTGGTGAATCGCCATTGATAATAATCTCCGATGAGTTCCAACTATAATTTTATAAATTAAACCTAAAGAACAATCTCTCGGTTCTTCTATATATTTTTTTGAGGCTATAATTATTAAAGCCCCAATTCATGATCTTAATCTTAATGAAAAAAAAATTTAATTATAAGAAAAAATTTAAGAATAAATATTTAAGTTGTACTATTCAAAATATATTTAAATAATTTAAAGGTGTCAATAGTAATAGTATAAAAATATGTTTTATCATAATAATACCGTAGAATTCAAATAATCATTACCGAACTCCGAATTAGTAATACATTATAACAAATTCTCAAATCATCATCACCTTTCCTCAATTTTAACTATCCAGTCCAGAAATTTTTCAATATGTTGCATATTTAGAGACAAGGAATTGTATACTCTTGGCGTAAAGGTTTTTGTTACGAAGCTAAATTCTTGTTGGATATTTTTTATTCTCTGTTTCTGCTTAATTTTTCTTTCATAAATTTTTTCCTTTTTTTATAACCTCTTTTGCGTATTACTCAGAGCCTTTAAGCTAGCTAAGCGAGTAAGCTACTCCACCCCATCCTAAAATGGTAACTCCTAAGTATTTCATTGATTCTCTTCTTCTGTATTGTTTACTTTGTTTTTTAATTAAAATTTTCAGCTGTAGTTGTTAATTATTTTCAAGTATTTGCCGTTAAGAAGATTTTGGTGTCATCAACGAAACTGCGGCTACGAAATCTTGGCAATGTCGTTATAATCATTTTTCTCAATTCATTTAGGAACATTTCAAGCACCAAAGGAGCGATGAGCGGATGGTTTTGTAACACTGTAATCTTTTGTCTTTGTCTTGGCTGCTATTTTTCTGGTCGTTTGGTATGGTCACAAATCCCTTAATAATTTGGTCCTGAAAGCATCACTTTTCTTCTTTTTTCTCGTCACATGGCAAACCTGCTGTCGCGCCATTTTGCGGCAAATAAAAATATTAAATGACATGCGATGTTAATTATATATATGGTTGTATTTCGCGTTTGAGTTCACGTTATAGGATGGAAATTTATTTCAATTCTGTTCAATGTTTTTAACGGCGAAACCATATTGTTTGTCGCAGAAATACAATTTTCTGTCTACGCGCCCCACATTTGTAGTAGAGTTCTGTGTGAACGTACCTTACATCTCATTAAAAGAAAAATCTTCGAAAATTGACATATTTTTTTTTTTGCTTTGTTGTTATTGCCAGGATTATTAACTACGCTATTTAGGGAACTTTCTTGTCCTTTTTTTGGACTAACGAAAACCGCAGTGTAACCAAGAAGTACCGTTGTTTTATGTCATGTTTATTGTGGCAATAAAGGAGAATGAATTTTTTTAATTGCCTTACAGCAATTTAAAGCAAAGTCAGTAAGCATTGGGCGATTATAACAAATGCGGCTGAAAAATTGCCTCATTTGGATGTTACCGTTGGAATTCCGAATAAAAAAAAGTTAATCCGTTGTCATGGGAAGTTCACAATTCTATTAAGGCCCGCGATTAATTACTATTCAATGCGCGTAAAAGAAATTCGACTTTTTTTCCTGAGGGTTATGAAATTGTCATTATTCTTCGAAGAAAGAAAAAATGCGGAACAGCGCAAAATTGAGGCGAATTCGCCATCGTCGTAGACGAGTGGAACAATACGGCACTGATTTGTTAGCATCAGATGGGAGAAAGGTTTAACTCTCAAACTGGCACATCATTTAGTTAATTCAAAACCTTTCAAAATAGCTTTAACGGTGCTTCGCTTGTAACCAATCTGTTGTGGTTTTGAAAATCTGTCAGCATAATTATTAGGAAATGGCTTTTATAAGCATTAACTCACATTTATTTTGTAGTGCGCGAGCACGACTCGGGTCAAGTCCAAAATACGGAACCTGCACCTATGCAGTTGCTAGAGATGACGAAATTTAATCTTCAGAGAGACTTCGTATATCGTCGTGCAATTTTTTTATAAAAAGGTCCGTTGTTTTTGAATTATAAATATTCATTTATTAATACGAGCCCGCTTCCTAGGCTTCTTTTGCGTGTGTTGTACCTCGGCAATCACGTTGCTTCCTAGAAAAATTATAGGTTGCTTCCTCCTCGATTTGCTTGGAAAGGTCAAGCACGGTGGGTTGAAGGAAAAGGCGTGAAAGCAAGTTCGAAGAAACGTAAGCGTCTGAAATGTTCAGCTATTCAAAAAATGCAAATAATGGAACAAAAATTTAAAAAAAAAATGTTTCAGTTTTAATTATGTCAAAATATATAATTTCGTGAAAATCTGAACTTTTAGTTCTTATTTATTTTGAATTATTTTAATTCCTAAACGAAACATAGTTGGACGAGCAGATTCTTCTTCTTGCCCGTGTAAATTCGCAACGATATGGTTTTCAGGAGAGCTCCAGACTATATTCGAGATCTGTTAATTGAAGTGTATAATTAGAATTTGCATAGGCTAGCGTGATGCATATCAAAGTATAATGCCCAGGAGTGCACTCGAGCTTGTCGTGGTTGATCTTCTTGTTGCTTCTTCGGTTCTCGTTCTAACTTGGCTCAGGTCATTGAGCTAAAGATACGAATTAATAGAAGGGTACCATCGATTGCAACTGTACGAAACACCAACGCGGCCCGATAAATCGTAAATAAAACGATTTTCTCATTTTCTTCTCGGTTTCTATTTCAATTTTCGTTTTGGTTCATCCTTAAATCCTATTTTTGTCGTTAATTTCCATCGATTGTTACTGTATCGAGACAGTGACGATCAATGTCAAAAAAAAATAATTTTAAGTGGCATATATATGTTCGATTGTTAATTATTACGATAAAATCTCTATGCGGAGTAGTAATGTAAACTGAGAAAATAAAGGCAAATGAAATAACACATCGTGTTCGTTTTCCGGGTTTCGCGTGTCTATCATAATACGTCTTGCGAATATTGGATGACTGTCATTATAAATTATTCTTGCACAAGTCAAATCGAAGGTTTAGTTCGGACATCGAATACACACTGCGTTGCGCTCGTATAATGACTTCGTACTCTTCAAAAAAAAAGTTTACATAGTCAATCATGCGAAGAAATTGAAGTCGTATCTGAAAAATACACGAGCAGGGCGGATGTGCGTATACAGGGTGATTCCTAAGGAATATTTACGGAGGAGCTTAGATGGGTCGAGATAAGAATTAAATTGTTTAAAAAGGGAGGTCCGAAATTGGGTTATTGTACCACGGAAGTTTAAAACCGCCCTTATTCTTCCCTTGTTCTTCTGGGATTGGGCATACGTTCGTCAGTAAGGTCTAAACCAATAACGGCGAAAAAAAAACTTCCAAAAGCCATTAAGGAGGCGTCATCGGTCAAAGTTCAAAGTAGTGGTTTATGAAGGGATATTGGATATCTATTTTTAGTATTATGCATCGAGGTCATAGATAAATAAGGAAAAGATTTGAACATCACGGAGTTTTGATAAATTAAACAACCATACTTTCAAATAAATTATCTGTATAGGTACCGCGGTGCACGCATAAGCCAAGCGTCCTTAATTTCTTGTGCTAAATTGTCAGTCGTCACGATTTTGATTGTATCGCGAGTCGTTTGATAAGGGCAATTTTCATGGAAACATGATATAAGACTCTTCTTTTTGTTTCCGTTAATTATCGCTTTCTAGTATGCGAGTTGTGAGAATAATATTTAAAAGATGTTGAACTTTAACTAAAACATAAAGCAATTGAGATTTCTCTCGCATGCGGTCACAGTAACATAATAACTCAAATCACCTCACACACAACATAACTGCCTTTTTTCATTCTTTTATCCACAGATTAAATAGTATTAAGGAAATTGCATTTCACGATGATTACGATTCCTCTTTGATAGATAAAATTTTAACTGAAAAACAGTTTCATATAATTCGAAACTCTATTTACCCCGTATTAAATACCGATCCCAAATTTCGAAACATCTCTCTGAATGTGGTCTCAAGATTTCTTTTAAAACTGAAAACACTGTAGGAAAATATTTAAAAAATCATAAAACTAAATCACAATTTCTCAAAAATCCAGAGTTTATAGGTTAAATCGTGGATGAGGTAATTAACATTTATATGGAACAAGAAAAGTTCGGATTCTAACTATGTCATTCATTTCAATTCAGAAATGCACAAGTTCGATAATAATTTTGATATTTTACATGGTCCATCAAAATGTCATAAATTAAGCTTGGAAACTACGTAGGTTAACAAAACGAGACACTCTAATGTATTACTTAATGATTTCGATGGATCTCCGTTGCTAAATCTAAATTTACATTTAAAAACCCTACAATAACTGTAATTATGAATTCATTATCACCCCTTTTATAATTACAGACCGTCATAGCTGTCATATAGCAATTAATAATATTTAAAAATCTGAATACCGTTTGTTGTCAATAATTTGAACATAAAATACACGTTCTATTGTCATATACGCGCTTTAGCCAAAAATAAGAGTGTTTAAAAAAAATCAAGTGCAAATGAAAAAAATTACTTGATTTTTTTCTGAGGTGTTAGTAAATGGGCGTGCGGGTCGGAATTTTTAATTGAAAAATGTCATATTTGTTTAAACCACGTACCTCAGTAGGTACAAATTAACAAAGGCCGCAATCAAATCTGCCCAAGAAAGATTCTAATCTGGTTCACGTTCAAATCAAAATGAAAATCTTAACCGTAATACAGGCTTTGCTCTCAAACGCGCTTGTTTTGAAATTGCAGAGCGTAATGTTAAGGAAGTCGTTAAGGCGTTTAATCAACCCATTAATATAAAACACGCAGACGTTCGGGCTTTTTGGTTTACCGTGAGAATGTCGTTTCCCAAAACACACCGAAGCTAGCTGAAAAATTAAGCGAGCAACTCACCTGGCTTATGTTGGAGGAAATTTTTATTTCCGGCTTGTCTCTTTTGCTTAAATAAAATTCATGCGAATTTGGACTTTCGCGCGGCTCCCCGGTCGTGGCGGTATAATCGGGGGTTGTTGAATCGTACGTAGTACTGCCGTCGGTGACTGTGGTACCGATAAAAGTCGTACTCGCTAGGGTATTGTTGTTCGTAGGAATAATCGTTGTCAACGGGGTACTACTTGTGACGGGGGTAGTTTTAATCGCCGTCGAAGTCGTACTGATTTCTTTAGTACTTTTAACTTGCTCATTGACGTTGGTTTGTTGCAAATTCGTCGAGTCTGCTGCCAGGACGGGGTTTAACGTCGTCGAAATGAATTCACTATCGGCACTTTTTCCGCGTCTCGTGAGTGCCGATAAAATATTGCGAGGGTAGTTCCATAACTGGGCATCTCCTTGCACCGCACACAACAAGCTGACGATGTAGACGATGCGCATGTTTTTTTTTTTTAAAACACCGAACCGACCAAAAAGCTTTAACAGAGGGACGGTTGACTACTGAATAGTGAAGCCGACGGTACTCGCGAGCACTGAAGAAGTTCTGCCGTTGCCGGATGGGCAGAGACAAGCAAAAGCTTTTGCGATTCCCGCACTTCACGTCGTTACGCCGGCCTCTAAACTAACCTACTTCTTATTTACATAGCACTAGTACCGTACTACCTTTTGCGCTTTTTCGCCGATTTACTATAATTTCGGAAACGACCATTTTTAGGGGTAACTTTTGACTTGTTTTTTTTTGCGACTTAAAAAATTTCGCTCCATTCTATAGTTGTTTCTCATTCTCAGGGTATGTAAGCAAGGTGGCCAAGATTAAAATGCACCTTTCATAGCATTTTCAAAATTCAAATGAGAAAAAAATACTTGACGGCTATTTTTGCGTAAAACATAAAAAACATAAAACATAAAAAAATCACAACAAAATAAAGAACTTTAGATAACTATTTCTTTTTTTTCATTTTGACTATAATTATTAATTAACTTCTGCCCAATTCCTATGTTGTTTGAAAAAATGCTATAGCTATAAAGGATTTTTTTTATTAGTGATTTGACTTTAATTATTAATTAATTTACCTTAAGTATTTAACTTAGTCAGGAAATGTTTTGTTTTCGATACATTTAAAAATTATGATAATGTCGAATAATGCTTCAAAAATTTAAGTTCAAAAAATTAAAATTTCATCTCCTTGCTCTTCAGAGATCTCCATAATAAAAATGTTATGTTTTTCTCAATTTGTCTTTGCTATTTTATTTGAAAAAAATTACAACAAACAGACAAAAAAAAAGCAAAATAAAAAGCTATAAAGAAGACTTTTTTATTTGCGATTTAAGTTTAATTATTAATTAATTGATCCTAATTATTTAACTTAGTTTTCGATGAAACTAAAAATTATAATTATATCTAAGATTGCTTTAGTAATTTAAGTCTAAATAAGCTTAAAAAAGTAAAATTCCATATCATGTTTTTCTCAATTTGTATTTAGCTTTAGCTATAAAAAAGGCTTTTTTATTTGTGATTGGCCTTAATCATTAATTATTTAACAGCAAAAGTTTTGTTTTCGATGAAATTAAAAACTATAATAATATCGCTTCAGAAATTTAGATATAAACAAGTTCAAACGATTAAGATTTCAACTGCTTGTTCTTTAGGGATCAACATTATGAAAATGTTGTTTTTCCCAATTTTTATTAGCTATTTTGTTTTTATTTCTCCCTTTTTCTCTTTTCGTTCTTTCATTGATTGATTGTATTTTTTTTAATTCTCGGGTTATATTTTATTATGTTTTATGTATTAACTGGTTAGTTAAGTTTAAGTAGTCGTAAATCTTTATCTTCTAAATATTTTATATGCAAAAAACTTTTACGTAATATATCAAATTTTGAAAATAAGTCAATTTTTCCATTTCCTTATATTATTTTAAAGTTTTTTCTACATTTTGCGTCTGTATTTTAATCGTCTTGCTTTTATTTGAAAGCAAGGTTCTACTTGATCGAACTTTTATTTCGAATCTTCTCGAAGCGCCGTTATTGTAGTTCGTTATTAATTAAAAATCGTTTTTCCTCGCTTGTTTTCTGCACAAATTCGAAATCAGGTTTAGTTAATCCATCGGCAAATCAATAACTGTACACGGATTTAAAGTATTCTGTGGGTAACCATAATATAACTGATTCCAAAGTGCCGGTTGACATCGCTACATAAACTTAGAAACCGTCACAATGTAATTTTTTTCTCATCGGCGAACTTAATTCGCCATCGCCCGCTCCATTGGTATGAGTTATCTGATTTTACAAACAGTTTAAGACCATATGGCGCTTGACACATGCGCTCTAAACTATTTTAGTTATTTACATGCGTGCATACAGATCGTCGTAATATTTTTTTTTACGTAGGAAGTTAATTTACGCGTTTGGCCGACTTCAAATCTTAATCAACCTCGAATTAGCGGAAAATAAGACGCGATAGCGCGTTGATTAGCATTCGGCGTATAAATTATGACACGGCGAGTGCATAAATATATGCAGGCCTAATAATTCCTTATTGATATTTAATTTGCGGATTTTGTACGCGACACTCATATTTTAATCCGCAAGAAATCGAATGTTTATGTAGCTCAGTAAAGTGGCACAAGTGCAAAATATTTTGTTCATTTTGCGTTTGACCACAAAATGTAAATAATGACATGATAAAAGGTGCAACTACGATTTTCCGTAAGCGAAATGGTTTACATTTGGTCATTAACCTACAATCGCATTTTTAATCCCGAATTATAAAGCGCGCAAACAACCGGGTGTATTTATTTTAAGTTATAATTTTATCATTTAATGTTAAGGCGCTACAATATGCGCGGGGCGGGGGTTCTAAGGGTCAATAAAAAAAAGGGGGCATAATTGAAACCAGCGCGAAATTTCTAGATTTATTTTAAAAATAGTATAATAAAATATAGCTTAAATATTATTTGTACATTGATATATCAACAACTTAAAAGCTACCAACGCGGAAATCGCAAAATAAATATATACAACTGAAGGTTCGCTATGAGTAATTTGTACAGATCTTTACATTAAAAAATTCGTTTATTAACTTGGCCGCACTGACCAAATTCGACGTAGAGTTAAATGAAACGTTGGATAGGGCATTTCTGCACCAATATTTTCCAAAAATAATTACTCGTTTAACACCTCAAATGGCCGCCCACGGTCTCGATCGATATAAATTGAGAACCCTCAACTGAAGCGTCATCTATCGCGGTACTAAGAAGGTAAGCAGTACCCGCTGTACGTGTCTAAGAAGTCGTCGTCGAAGTACTTCTTCTCTCCATAACTTTTCACTAATATTACTCCTTCGTCCGTATGATGGCGCGGACATCGATGACCGTGAGGGCATTGGCACAGTGTGTCCACATTAGCTTCGTCCAACGATTCTTGGCGCCTGCGCACAGTAAACAATCTGCAGGGTTCCTTTCTCTGACACCGAAGCCTCTAAAAACAAAAACCAGTGGCGTTACGGGCGGGGTCGTCGATTCAAGAACAGTAGCGCTTACCGTTTCGGGGGAGCAAGAAAACAAATATTGAAAGGCTATTTGGCTTTTGGACTGGAGTACTTTGTTCAAATAGGTGACGGAGTTCTTAGGGCAGTGACAGTGCAAGACCTGCTCCGTCACGTTATTGGCGTACAATGTTATCGACCACGTGGTATCTCGGAAAAATCTAAAATCGCAATTCATATCATGCAAACCTATTATCGCGATGTTTCATTGATCATATACCTGCACTTGGGTAGTTTTTTAATCGATTCGCACAGCTTGTACTGTCTGGTTTTCTCCACGAACGTATGTCCATCGTCGGTATCGAGTCCCATTGGACAAATACGACCTTCCGGACATCTGCATTGCCGTTCAACCCACGGCGTGTGGTACAGATCAACTTTGTTGCATATCGATCTCGGATTGCATTCGGGCAAATCTTCCTCGCTAGACTGGAACATAAAAAAACAGCAAATTAAATACCTGCGGACGCCTCTGTGAAAAATAATTTGATATTATACGACCCTGTCCATACACGGATGTCGTTAATTTTATCTTGGTATGGGTTTATCGATGCCCCGGGGTATATTTTCAAGCCCGGTAGTTAAATATTTAATCTTTTAAATGATCTAAAAGTCCAGGTAGGCCGAAGCATCCGCTCTAGTCGCCCGGCCGAAAACTAGAAGAATTCACCCAGAAATAAATTTCGTCCCTTAAAATTACCCGCATAAATTCGAAACACCCGGTGTAGGTGGTTTAAAGTATTGCTACATTCTAATGTGACGTCGTTACAAAACAAAGGACAATGCCGAACTGACAAAAGGCTTAAAAAATGTACCGGAAGTGCAAACTGTATGGCGAATACGCTTCTTTCATGCCCTATTGTGTGTGGCTTAAAAGGGAGGAAGTGGACTTGTGATAAGTTGAAGAAAAGATTTTATTAAGGGATTTGCCGAAAGCTTAAAAGCCTTCCTCGAACGTTGCCTTTAACACAAGCAAATGAAACCAAATGGGTGCAATTTCTCCAAGAATATTTTGATCGGAGCATGTATGGTATTTAATGGCATTCCTATAGCTTTTACGAAGTCCTGCTTGGGTTCGCATAATAAGAAAAAAGTGTAATAATTCTCTTAACAACTTCCTTTCAGCGAAGGTTCCATGTCTCTTTTTTTGTTTGGATATCCTGTGCCCGCAGGTATGTTAGAACGCATCTAAGAACGTGTCAGTGAGATAATGTTTCTATATAACAAATTACGCTTAATTTACTTCATCCAACGGACTTGTCGCTTTTACTTTAAGGCAGGCTAAGCGTTTATTTGTTATCTGCCTCTGCAAAAACTCGACAACTTGTTCCCCATCTTCTCTAACGTTACCAAAATAAAATTACAAAATCGTTACTTACGCCGATTTGGTACAACACTTTTTTAATTACTGCGTGTTCCTGTAGTTTTTTCCTTTCGATGCTACTTTCGACGAAAGGACTTATGCGATGATGATGCCGATGTTCCGAAGGATGTCTTTGAAAAACTTCCAATGGTATTCGCGTACTGGCACAAATATTTAAAAAAACCAACGCGGCCAAGCCTTCCAAATACATTTCGCACTTTAATTTAATTCTGATAAATAACGCTCGTATAGTATTTCGCTTCGTACTATGATTGCGTAAGTTCACAAACAATTCTTATAATGCTACTTGGACCTTACCACGGAGCGTACTACTATGTTCCTTCCAAGGCATGAATGAAAGCGGATTGGGCACCCGAAGTAGCCACCGAACGCTACCTCCATTCATTTTCTCTCTTCGCTTTGTCTGCCGGCCGTATCGGTTTTACTGAGAACGCAATTATTTATTTTTCGGGTGTATTTTCTGCGAAAGTTAATCGTAAAATTTAAACGATAATTAACCAAGATAATATTATAAATTGTTAATATTTTATTGGAGTCTCTCTGTTCTTCTAATAAAAATTGCCAACTCATCAAAAATATTTTCGAAATTTCAAATTAAAGGTCAGAAATGCTCGGGCATGATAAAATTTTTGGTACTTTTTACAAATTTATGCATTTTAGTCCATCTGCTTGTTTTGTCAATAGTAAAAAAGGCAAATAGCTGTTTGACTTCTCCGGCAAACTGATGAGACCCAGAAAGGTCGAAAGCTGCCGTTACGCAATGGAAAATCACATTTTTTTTGAATCCTTAGTTTCACTAGCGCAAAGCCAGATGCAAAAGGCAATTCACAAAGTATAAATGAACTTTTGAAACAAAGTGTGGAATTATTTAATTATCCTAAAAGAGAAATATTTAAATTTTTGAATGCATCAATACTAATCAGATAAGGGACTTCTTGGATCGTGAACACCTGTTGATCAGGTAGCTTGTCGTCCACGCAGGGTGCCTAACGTAAAGATTTATGAATGGTACGGAATAAAGACTTCATTCATATTTAGCTTGATTTTACTATGCTCGCTGTACGACATCTGATAAGTAAATTTGCATTACTTTATAGATTTAACTGGTTTTTCTTCGACGCAGCGTCGCCCGTAAGGTGCGTAGTAAAATTGACCGTAACAAATTGAACAAAGTGCGGGTAAACAAAGAATCGTTTATTTTTAGTAATATCTGGTTAATTTTTAGTTTACCACTCGTCGAATAAGCCGAGCAGCTCGAGATTGTTTGTGGTTGAGTACGCCAATGGGTAGATTAGTCAGGTGTCGCCGGAAACGGATTGCTCTTAGATTTTTAAACACTCGGGGCGTTCTATAACACGTGGGTGAATGCTGGTACTCGGACCAGACCGTTACCAAAGCCGCAGTACGTCAAAAACCGACGATGGTATTGAGTTCGATTGTTCAATGAATTCAATCTATTAATAATTTTTCACGGACGTTTTTTAGAGAAAAAGAAACCTACTTTAGAAGATTAAATTATTATGAATACGTGTCAAGGCAAGAATGTTATAGGCTGGGCATGTTTTTTTCCGAATTGTCCAACATTTCTCAACCGCCGGGCGGGTCCGTGCTTTAAGAGCACTTCCGTACATTTGAAAATATTCTGCCCAAACCGCAGTTTACAGTCAGTCTTAAACTCAACGATCCTGTTGTCGAAAATAAACTATTATTTTGCACCTACATAGCCATAAGCTTTAAAAATTTGATAAAAGAAATTAATTTTTGTTGTTGTATTTACACGCAGGGAAGGTATACTCGGTTATTAGTAGACGCCACGGCAAAGTGTTAGAAGCTGTGGGCATGGACGAGAAGGAAAAATCTTTCACGGTACAAGCTCAAATTCCAGTAATCGAAAGTGAAGGTTTCGCTAATGAAATCAGAAGCACGACATCCGGCCAAGCGAACCCCAGCTTGCGTTTCAGCCATTACGAGGTAGGACTTCGCTTTTATACCTTCGAATTCGTCACGTACACGAAAGTTGTTAGTAAACAATAACAGGGCGCCAATGAACCATGACGGTAGCACGGGTACTTCGTCCCAACAAAAATGCGGTCGTTTATTTACTGAGTTTTATTTCCCACACGAAAATTGGCGGTCGCATTTTCAACACTCTAAAAATTTTATTATCGTCTGCCTGGGTTAAATCCAGCACTTAACCAGTCGCTGTCAGCACCAGCACCGGGAATCGCACCGTTCGCACAGGCTTCATCCCCCAGCATTGCACATCTTTTTCCAGGGTTAAAACCTTGACTTAGCCATTCGTTATCTGATCCTGCTCCGGGAATGCCCCCTGAAATATAAAAGTGTCGTTTTGAGGTATGGTCTGCAGTAGTGTCGGAGCTCGGCAATTATCCATCATTATTTATTACTAATAATTTTTTTTGTTATGGCGAATGTATGGTCTGTTCATAGATATAAGAAATTGACCAATTGCTTTTGTATGGGATTATCCAAGGGTGGTCATTAACATACAATGCAAAGAGATTATTACCTAAAGTTTCGGAATTTAAGTTCAGGTAAAATTGTGGTCCGTAATAGAAAATATTCTTTGGTTTGGTATACTACTTAGTTTTAAGCTTATTACTAATCATTCTTATTTCGTGTGTAACACAGCGTGTGTTGAATCGTGTGCGAATTATTCAAAATATGCGAGTCTAGTGTATCTCAGGAGATGCTCCCGCCCAAATGTAGAAAACACTTTTCTATTGACACTAAGAAAGTTATAAACAATGTTTATTTGACTCGCATTGAACGTGGTGCCAGCAAGCAAGCATCTTTAGAAGAAACGGTCACATTGATGAAAATTCCAACATCAACTGTATGGAAAATAGTGAATAGTCCCATTTCAGCGAGGAAAAAAAAGAAGCGATGCTGACATTTGCTCGAGTGTAGATGAAAGTCATCAAGATATAATGCGGCGTAAAATTTACCAGTTATACGAAGAACAAAGCGTGCCTACATTAGATATCTTAATTAGGAGGCTTGAAAAAGATGAAACCGGTGTTAAATGTGACAGAACTACCTTATGGAAGTGTATACAATACATGGGTCTTAGATCTGATAAGTGTAAAACAAACGCGTCATCAAAAAGAGGTAAAAGGATAACTATTTTGCATGTTGGCTCTAAAGATGGTTGGATTCCAAATGGACTTTCTCTGTTTGCGAAAAATATTAAAGATTCTTCTCTGGATTACCATGAAGACACCACCGCTGATTTATTTGAAAGTTTTTTTAAAAACAAACTAGTTCCAAACATTCCTCCTAATAGCGTCATTGTAATGCAAAATGCAAGTTATCACAGTAGACAGTTGACTAAAACCCCTTCCTCGTGTGACACAAAAGCAACAATCCAAAACTACATGTATAATAACGACATTTATTTTCACGAAGATTATACCAAAAAGCAATTAATTGAGGTTCTACAAAGCTTGAACCTACACAAGTAATACGTCTGTGATAATTATGCAAAAAATGTAGGGCATACAGTTTTAAGGCTTCCACCTTACCACTGTATGTTTGAACATGAACATTGAACATGTTTGGCATCAACTGAAATCTGCCATTCATCGTAACAATGTTTTTCCCGGTCTTAACTCCAATGTCCTCAAACTTATAGAAACCGAAGTTTTTAACAGCCCTCCCTTAAGTTGGGCAAATTCTGTTAAACATATAGAAAAAGCAGAACAATCGTATGTTCATATTGCAAATAATATAGAACAAATAATAATTAGAACCGGCGATGATAGCGATAGTGATACTGATATATTATGTGAATAATTTTAAATAATTTAAATAGGTATTAAAAACAATTTGTAATTTTATTTTAGATTTTAACATAAATACAGACATAAATCAATAAATATTGTTTAGTATCTTTCCTAACAAAACCCCAAATAATTAAATTCTAAGTAAAGTACGGACTTGTTCGGCCATATTTCATTCATACAGCTTGCCCGGGTCTTTCCTTAATTCGTATCAGTTAGTCACTTTCTTATATCTATGAACAGACTTTACCTATAACCCTTTTCAAGGTATACCCGAATCTGCAGTGTGGTACTTTTTTTGAGTAGTGTTTTATAAATTTAAACTTACCATTAGCGCAGGATTCATCCCCTAACATGGCGCATCGTTTTCCGGGTGTAAATCCGCCATTTAACCAATCATTGTCCGACCCGGCCCCAGGGATTCCACCTTCAAAAACATAATTAATAACAACGAGCACAATTTTCATCCATAATATTACCGTTTGCACAAGATTCCTCCCCCAGCATTGCACATCGCTTAGCGTAACTCAGTCCGTTTAATAGTCTTTCGTTATTCACTGCAAAATACCAAATGAAATTAACACCAGCCCTGTCGTGACTATTCGCTCACTTACTGTATAGTTTTGGCAAAATTTGGCTGTAAAGTAAAGCCAATCTTTCGTCGCTTACGGTGTTGGGTACGGACCTAGCGTGAGCAAGCGCGATAAACACGGAGAAAAGTGCTAAATAGATTTTCATTGTAGGAGTTTGCAAAGACTGAAAACTATTAATAGTTATAACTAATGCTGCGACTTCAATTCTAATGAATTGCTTCAACGACTTACTTCGTCTATTGCAGTTTGATTGGGTACCGATTACTGGCTAAAGTTCTATTAGGAAATGCTTTATATACGAGGCCTTATCGTCAGATTAATTTGTTTTTAGTATCGTTAATTAAAATATGGACATATGGACCACTTATCCCTCATGCGAAAAATATACTTATTTTATTGCTACTGCCGATTGAGTTCTGATTATTTATTAATATTTAGAATTTTTGGAGCGCATATGGGAGTTTGAATGCATGATATATTTGGTTTTATTGTACGCGTTGATAAAATTCTGGAAATAATTGATTAATGCGTTTTGTTTGTTCTGTGGTTCCGTCGATAAAGGGATTATGAGACAGCGTTAATGCAATTCAAATTATATTCCTATAAGCAAATATCCCGCACTGCTACCAGAAAATCCTATAGCATATGTATATTTGCGTACTCGGTATTTCCTTTGGACTTTTTCACTTCTTGGTGATCAACGCTGCAAAAATTTTTATTACTTAATTTATTCAATTCTTTTTTATTTTAATCCGTCAACCAATAAAAATTGTATTAATTCAGCGTCACTGTGATTTTTCAAAAATGCCGTGTTCTTATAGATAATTGACGGAGATCCTTTCTACGAAGCAACAGATGAATTGGACGACGAGGATGAAATCAACGTCGAATCGGCGCTCCGAGCAAGCAGACTGCGTAAGGAGGTGCGTCGACGTAAGGGCTTGCAGGTGGAAGACGAAGTTGTGGTGCATGCTGAAAAACAAAGAACTCTAAATAAGAAGAAATAAAAATTTGTGACAAATATTTATTAAGTTTTATTGAGTCTGTAATAAAATTGTTGACTTTATTGTTCCATGGTATTATATATTGAAGAGAGTTTTTGTTTTATTAATTTTCTAATTGCGTAAGTAATAAATTCGCCAGTGCAGGCAATTACGTAAGCGTTTTTCTCATCTAATGACGTAGCACTCTTCTCTGGGTCGAGGGAAAAGGAGAAGAATAACTTTTTACATTCTGTGGTTGAATTGTGAAATGTAGATGACAATCTTGACATATAAACAATTTTCTTGTTACTTTTACGAATTCATTAATGCTTCAAATGCGATGCTGAGTTAATTTTGCGTTTACTTATTTTATCGTTGTTATGTTCTTTAGAGCGTTGTTTCGTGTAATTTTTGGTTGAACATGCATTTTTCCATTCCATATACACAGGAATTAAACGAAGGAAATGGGTCTACTTTTATTGTATTTGCTTATTTATATTTTGTTTTTTTTTTTAATTTATTGTTCTTTTAGGGTTATAATGTTTACATTAACGGCGTCTTCCATTGCACAGTTCGTTATAAGCAATTACACAATCTGAATGAACAACTCAAAAAGGAGTTTGGCAGTGACAGTATCCCTCCATTTCCGCCCAAAAAGTTGCTTCCTCTAACTGCTGGACAATTAGAAGAGAGAAGGGTGTTATTAGAAAAATATATTCAAATTGGTAAGATCAGTTATATTGACTGTGGTCACCGTTGTAAGATGTGTTGCTTCTAACAGTTGGCCAAGATGGTAAACTTGTATCATCTGAAATATTGACTGGATTTCTATTATCTGCTCAACAAGAAACAATATGCCAAAAAAAGGAAGATGTTAATCTAGATATTTATGTCACCAACAATTATCAGATGAGTATTAGGGTCTCTACCATACATAGAACTGAACAAGTACTGTCAAAGACCCTTAAGCAAATTAGCTTGTCGCTGGATTTTATACAGTATTTCTCCCTCTACCTCATAAAATTGGAAAATACGGGTGATATGGTAGTGTTAAGAAAACTTTCAGATTTTGAATCACCTTATATGACCCAGCAAGCAGTTCAGGGTGCCAACAGAATAATGTTAAGGAAAAGGTATGCTTTTTTCCAAAAATTAATATATGTAAGTCTTTGATAGTATTTCTGATTTTTAGCTATTGGGACAAAGCTTTTGATAAGGAACTTATGAAGGATCCCATAGCATTAAACCTGTTATATCTCCAAACATTAGCGGACATAGAAAGGGGCTGGATAATAACAACTAAAGAAAACAGGTCCCATTTAGAACAATTACAAGACAAATTTGCAAAACGGGAATACATAGAATATGCACAAAGACTAAAATACTATGGCTTCCTACAATTTGGTTTGTGTTACTGTGATTACCCGTATGCACGGACTGGAGTGCAGATTTCCATAGGCAATGAAGAGCTCAATATGAGAATCTTGGGTCCTTCGAAATTGGTTAAGGAAGGTGTATTTAAAGTAACTAGAATGAGATGTTGGAGAATAACTGCTCCTAATGTAAGTAAATTGTTTTAGCTGATTTAGATAATGACCATTTTCCTATTTTTCAGGATAAATTGCCCTCCAATATAGAAGATGATTCCCATAGCAATAGCATTTACTCTAATACAAAATCTCGTATGGAACTCTCTTTTGAATATTTAATGTCAAAAGATAAGTTGCACTTGATTACAATATCCAGTGATCAAGCCATATTGATGTCTGTGTGTCTACAATCTTTAGTAGACGAGTTGTTGATGAAGAAAAATGGCTTCAAGAAGAAATCTGTAGAGAGTAACAAAGGAAAGCGGCCGTATATGAAAAGGGATGGATCTTATCAGTTTGTTTCTATTGACAGTATATATATGGATAGTGCAGAAGTAAGTTTCTCTTTGATGGAATATTGAAAAAAATAAATTTCTTATATTATTTCAGAAACATTTTTTTCAAAAACATAAAAATTGTATTGTTTAAATTTTAATCATTTTAACTGTCTTATTTATCAAAACTGTTACACAGACACTGACCTTACTAAATAACATTTTTCCAGGAATCTGATGGTGAGAGTATAAATGATTTCCAAGAACCCTTCTCAATTAAAAAGTTACAAGAGAAGTTTTCCAGCGTCTCATTTAAAAGTGGAAGGGAAATTATTGAAAACCACGTGTTTGAAGGCATTGGTGATGATGACTTATAGATATTTGACTGACTTATCACTTTTGCTCAGTTTGTATACTATATTTTTGATTATTTAAAATATGGTGCTAGTTATCATTCTTTTTTTAAAAAAATGGTACTTGCGAGAAGTGAATTTAATGTTCACAGTCCATTATTTTGACAGCAGTTCTTTTGTGTATGTCTAATTGGTGTAACCCGTCTAGAGAATTATATAATGTTCTCCCTATCGTTTTTTAACATACGTTTTTAAAGTCAATTTTAAGGAAGTGTAAATAAGTCTATGTATATTTCACATTTTAATAATAAAAACTATTAACTAAAAAAATTGTTTCTTTTAAACTAACCACACCCTACCCTACTATCATCGCTTGCTGACTTTTTTTTGTACCTTTGATAAACTGCAGGGCACAATAAAAAAAGCGCATTTTTTTGCAAGAAAAATGTGCTTCTTGAATTCGCTAAGACGATTATGATGGCCCTCTTCTGGTCCGTTTATTTGGGTTAATTTAAACACCTTCGCGATGGTTTTATTAGCTTTTTATTTCTTTTTTCATCACATTCGGGCGAAACCAAAAGACCCAGTCGCGGTCCGCTCCCCTCTAAATAACGTGAAAAGTATGTTCGGAAAATCTCTAAGGGCCATTCGAGCAAACATGGGTCAAAAGTAAGTAGCGTCCACGGCAATGGGCTGCATATCGGCCCGATTTTTTTTTTCAATCAGATGAATTCGAACTGATGAAAAAATTAATTATAAGTGAGTTGATGACATTTTTAACAAAGTATCGCTAATTCAATTCAATTCAATGATGCGTTTAACTGATAGCTGTTGGGCATGACTACCAGGATCATTCGCCCAAGTATCGCTAATTATTATTCATCAGCTTTTCGGTCACGAGACTGTTGACATGCTAAAGCAGGCTTCAATTCAATTCAATGATGCGTTTCACAGATAGCTGTTGGGCACGACTACCAGGAAGCAGGCTTCACAAATTCCGTAACACAGAAAATTTCCTGCTTTTTGCGATAGGCCAATTTACTGTGGACACTCGCCCAATGGAGAGAGACTTAATATAACACACACTATAATCATATCACAGTATATTTGTATATCATGTTGTTGTGTCATACGACGTGTTGACTATGTGTTACATCTGTTGAAGTGTTGGCAATCTTTGAAAGTGTGGAGTGGAGGTTGGAAGGGTTTTGACCTGTTTGATAATTTCTGGTTTTGTGTATCAACATTAATATAAAACCAGCCATACATTGTTCATCATGAAACAACAAATAGTACTAGCCTCATTTTTCTTTGTGTCCTTTACTGGATTTTGTGGCGCTTGCACAAACCCACAAGTAACCTCAAAGTCATTTACAACACAAGATGCGACAATCGTGTCCCATATTGCATATGTATCGGATTTTAGCGTGAAATGTTCTTCCGGAGAAGCTGGTAGTCTGTACGCTGAGTTGGAAGATGGTAGCATTACTCCAGTTGCAATTGTTGGCCCCCAATCCTACCAGGTAAGATAAGATCCAAACTGTACTTTTAATAAGTATTTATAATTTTGTTATTTGTTTTAAAATAGGTCAGCTGGACTGAGGAATCTAAGGCAGCCAAATCTGGTGACAGAATAGTTCGTATCTTCAATGAAGATGGTTACACAGCTATCCGGAAACTGTTAAGGGCTGGAGAATCTTCTTACAGTGTGGAGCCATTTTTTACTGCTGCGGTAAGACATCCCGGTTCATACAACGGGCCATGGGTGAAGAGTGAATTTATTGCGGCCATTGCCGCTTTAGTGGTGTCATATTTTGCAATAGCTACAAGAGCGAAAATCGTATCATAATTGATTATTTGTTTTTGTTGTAAATTATTAGTGGATTTTGAAGTATATGAAATAAAGTTCTAATTTTTATGTAGTTTTTTATTAGTCTATTTTCAGCAATTTACATTTCAGCTCTGGGTGCTTACTAAGTATGTTACAAATTTCCTGAATGCGGTTTCTATGCATTCTTTTCGTCAAACAATTATCAACCATAGAGCAAAAAGTCGAGAAAGTTTGGGATTCATCTCAAATCGTTTAGGGTGTACAGGATGTCCCAAATTTGACGTGAACTACTAGAATCTCGCAAAAAAAATTTTAGTGCTTAATTTAAAACCTGTTTCAAAATCTGGAAAATTCGGAGATATCGGGGAAAACCGAAAATCAGGGATTCCTTTTGATTTTTTTTCTGGCTTTTATTAAAAAAAAATTATAAAACAAGTGAAATTATTGCAATTTTTTAAGTGTGGTTTTCGTGTGCTCATCATCAATTTCAAAAAAATACGTGCACCACACTTAATGATTTACTACACAATTCCGCACTCAAATTGACGGTTAATCAAAATTTACACTAAAAATAAGTGAATATGAAACATTTATGTAAAACAGTTTTGAAATAATTGTTAATTATAAGTAATAATTAAAATTTTTACTATTATAGATTTAAATTATAGACTTGGTAGTCTTGTTGTCAAATATGTTCATTGCAATCCGACGAGAAATTCCATACTTGCTAGTGAACGGCAACGACAAATTTGTTTGCTAAATTTTATAGACATTTAATGGTGTTCCAACTTTTAGCAAGACAAGAAATGAGTTGGACATCCTGTACACTGTTCCTTTTGAATATTACCTATAACCTCAAATTTCACTATTTGTGGTGGATATTGAGTATTTATTTGAACTTATAATACACCCTTAAACTTACACTGTTCTCATAAAAATTGACTACTTGACAACTTGAATGACCAAATTTCCTTCTTAATTGTGCAGATGTTCATATAATTATAAATATTCACAACACGATAACTTTGTGGCAAAATGCTAACCAAACTATAATTAGCTATCTACGTATTACCGGGTGGTATATAGGGTGCTTCTTGAAAGTGTTGAATTTTAATGTTGACTATAACGCACCGACCATTTAAAAATAGTTTTTTTATAAATTGACTACTTTTTATTTAAACGAAGGGATTTTGAAATTCAAAAATCAATTTGAATGACTATTAAATATATTGTTTTAGTGCGATTATTTATAATGAAATTATTAAACCCGAATCTCGATTTGATGGCGTCGATGTGATGGGCGGTGTTCATCATGCTCTTTCTCTAAGTGGCCATCCCTCTCATGATCTGGGCCAACCCCCATTATAAAGAATATACTTAAATGGAAATAAATGACCTACATACAGGAGGTATGTCTATACCTTGCTTATTGGAAACTAAATATCTGCCCATAAAACACCATTTATAATTTTATATCAACAATATTTAAGTATGACAACAAATAAAAATCCCATTAGGTTTGAGTTTTCCAAACAGATTATACCACATAGTGATCAATCTATACCCAATTGCCTATTGTTTGGGATAGTATACAATATCATAAAACATTTCACATACCCACAATGCATCTCGCGCGAAACCGCGCAATCCCATTGGTCGTAGGCGACCAGACGCAGTTCAAATTCAAAAATAGGTCATCTCTCTGCGAAGCAGTTTAGTTCTTCAGTAAATGTTTGTGGTGATATTTTGTTTCGGAAAAATTAATGGAAATATTGCTTAGTTGCATTCGTTCGTGTCATGTGTGAACTGGAAGTTGATTGTTGTTTGTGCGAAGTGATGTTAACAGTGCCTAGAAAACCCTCTGGAATGGCGTGTGAAAATAAAGGTAAATATTCTAGTTTTTGGGATGAAAGATGTTCGTTCAGTTATAGTTTGGTTTTTATGAGGTTTAAGTTATTTGCAGGCATCAAAAATTTGTTAGCGATTTTCTCCTTGCATTATATTTCGAGCTTTTATTTATTAAATGTCATTTTTTAAAAAGTTTGATTCCCTGCGGTTCGATCGTCATTTGCTTTTTATTTGTAAATTTGAAGTGGACACTTGATTACTGTCTTTGTAGCTTCCTTTTGTGTGTAATCTAGCCATATGCATTTTTTGAAAGAATAAAACAAAGCAAACAGAAAGAAAACTATTCCTAAACTAAAACTATGACTTTTTCCCCTTCGCTTTTGTTTATCTCGCAAAGAGAAAGTAAGCCAGCTAAATTGTTGATAAGAGTTCTATAATGTGCGAAAATTAAACCGTTTTTAGCCAGATAATTTTTCAAAATTTTGAAAATCGTTGTTTATTACTTTGCCCTTTGAATTAATGTTTAACGTAGTTTAATATTACATTTGGATTTATGTTATTTGTCGCAGGATCGGTATCAGGGATGGGTTCTCCACAATTTCCGCCCAATATTAAGTTATTGTAATGGGTACCCGGTAGGAACACTCAGTTTGGGTATTCCTATTCAGGGAAGTAAGACGAGTGAAGCAATGATGGGAGCGCTGATCGTTGATTCAATCAACGGAGGTTCAGCATTGACATTTGGAGCAATGTCAAAAACTAACCCCAAGAATGGAGGTTTTTCTTTAGACATAGATTTATCTATGTTGGAATAATATTATCTCCGACATTTTTTGATTGTGCTTGATTTTTTTATGCGGTAACTTTTAGCGGTGTTACTTACACATGCTTGCGCAATTGACGTCACTAATTTATGTTAAGCGGTACGCAGTTTTTCCAAATTTTTTTGTCTTTGTTGTCAGTATTGGGGAGCTTGGTTCAAAATCGTCGATGTAGATTCCTATAAGTCTATTCGATCGATCAGTGTTGTGTACGAAGCACAGATGCCGCTATCAGTCGCAAAGTGAATTTCTGGAATTTTTCTATTTGAATCAGGTTTTCGGACAACAACGGATACGATTTTCCTTTGTTCTTTCTTCTTCACTAGCCTTTTTTTTTTGTTGGGTAAGTAAAAAGTTAAGTCACCTAGTTTTTTCACATTTTAGAATTGACTAGTCACTGATCCTTTAAACAGCATAGTACAACTGAGCATAGTAAAATTTACTTCATTGCGGTTGGTATTTCTGACAGTCAAAATAAACTGTCAAATTTCTCTGGTGTTTGTGCCATAAGACAAAAAAATATTAAGCAGTTCACCGATTCCTCATAAGTATGAATTCAGTGTGTCGCAAGATAGTATCAACTAATTCAATTAGGCAAGTGCTAATTATTAGGGCATCGAGACTGAATTAATTGTTGTTCAACAGTAACAATCAATAAATTAACATTATGTAATATTTTTTCAGGCATCTTCGCTTTATGTCCCAACTGGGAGACTTGGGAAGCGGTGCTGGTAAAGGAGGCGGCGGAGGCGGTTCAATCCGCGAAGCGGGTGGTGCTTTTGGCAAAACGGAAGCTGCAAGAGAGGAAGAATTTTTTTATAAAAAGGTTAGGATTTGATTTTAATTCAAATCCAACTTGCTATTAAATGGTGGTTAGAATCCACCGGTATGAAACACCGAGTCCCGCATTTGTTGTTTGGTTTGTTCTGTGCTATTTGGGTTGAGTTTACCCCTTTACGTCTAGTTATAATATCAATTATTCAGACCCTTGAAAATCAATGAGTTTAATTTCCCTGAATTCTTGCGTTGAAAAGTTTTTTTTGGTTGTTTAGCAAAAAGAACAACTGAAACAGCTGAAGTCTCACCTTCACGATGAAATATCTTTCCACGAAGAGCAGATCAAGAGACATCAAGAAGCTATAGCACGCCATAAGGAGGGAGTGAAGAAAATCCAGGAAACTGAGAAATAGAAAACTTATTATTAAATATACTTAGTACTTTTAACTTTGCATATGTCAATATGGATTTGGTAGATTTTTGTTCAATTTGCTAAAACGTTGTAAGAGAATAAACGTTTGTTTCAAAACTCGACTCCTTTTAGTGACATTTTAAACCCGTTTCGAAGCTTATACTCCCTTTCTAAAAAAAATTGTCCAAATAATTGATAAAGTGCGCAATAGTGTTCCGTTTAAATTAAGCGGGTAATTTTGACTTGCGCACCGGTTTCCCGAGACGACGTGAAGTATTGTACAGCGTTGCCATATGTGGTAAATTTCACATTTATTCGTAATTTTTGTTTTTCATAATTAAAAAGGCGACTTGTCTACTACTAAACGAAAACATATCAACTAATTGGAGTGCTATATTTTAATTAGTTTATTCATACGTAAATTGCAAATAAGGCAGTAATTAATTGTCAAGAGAGTTCAGGTAGCTAAATTTGTTCTAAAACCCAATCTCTGTCTACATCCGTTAATAAGGCAATCGTGGTTGTTAAGCAAATTATTTAACTTCTACTCACTTTTCTTACTAATGTCCAGATTTGTTCAACTTGGCTACGTCGCAAATGGTTTTTAAGGATCGGCAACTATTTTAAGGCAAAATCAACTAAAATCCGGCAACGGTGCGATTGGGGCGATTGATCAGTGCACTGAATGCTTTAGTTGGTTGAGTGTTGTGTCGTGCCATATCAGCTTTTTTTTACAAAAATAAAGACATTTTAGCAAGTAGATTTATCTTTAATCGGTTTAGTGATGGATTTTAGGATATCTACTCTTTTATGTTGGGCACTCTTGGCTGTCCTGGCATCAGCAGCACAGGTAAAACGCGAAAACGAACGTTTCTTCCTGGCATGTATTCATCCTTCTTTGGGATAACCTTTCTGACATAAACGATTTTAATTTACATAAATATTCCCGTAAACGAACTGGTAAGCGATTTAGTCGGAGATAATCGCGCAAATCTATTTGCGCATGATGATTTTTATTGAGCATAATAATGTTTGTGTTTTAAATAACATACTCCTCTTTGTCGTAAACAAACGTTCACCTCCGGGCTATCAAAGTCCCTTGAGACCAACAACATCTTCGAAAAATAATATCACGCTATTCATTTCGATCGAGACAGTAATAAGTCGTTTCTTTTTCGTTAAAATCGGCTTATAAAACACCTCTATTGTCCTCATATTTCTGCAGATGTTCAGTTTCTATTTGACACGCATGTTGACGCTGGAATATCTATTTACCGTTTATTTTTCACGTTCAAATCATTGATGATGTATTCCTTTCAATGTTCTTACGATTGGCACTTTACCTAACAATAACGACATTTGCTGTATAAACAGGTACAACAAAAACGCTGCGCAGCAGAAGTATAGAATTTTTATGATCCTCTAATTACGCATTGCACACCGGAAACAAGGGAAATTTAGAATTTATTTTAATAAATAGTCCGTGTAGGTGGTTTTAAAAAATATGGTTTGCAAATGCTTTAGCCCACAAACAAAAATTTCAGGGGGTTTGTTCAGGATGACTTGAGCCTCTGCACCGCAGGTATAAAGATTTTTCAAGTGTATGTTTTCCTATTCAACGTGGCTTAAGATGTCTCGTTTGCCCCGTAAGCGTTTATCATTCTCAAAATATCTATGCTGTACTGTTTATTTCTTCGAGTGGCTTAAACCCTCCTGCTTCCAAAAAGATTGGCGTTTTTGTCTGAAAAAGTATTAATGTGCAAAATTAAGATTATACAATTATACTTCAAACATTCTATGATATCGCTCTTCATACCTGACTTTAAGAACAACAAAATAAAAGCAAGTTAGTCGACTATACAAATTGCATTTAAAAATAGATCTAATTTCTTCCTACGTTTTGCTTAGGTCGTAGGTATTTTAGGATATTGTCCGCCATTGAAATTGGTTTTTGCTATTTTCATTCACCGTCTCCAGATGTAAAATTTAGTTGAATTCCAGTGTTGCGCTATTATTGATGCAGTTGAAACAACTGTCTGTCACATTATAACGGTTCGTGCCGCCTTTTGTATATAGAAGGCTCGATAAAAGGCGTTCTTAGAAAGTCACTTTAAAGGACCAAGATCCACGTGGGTGGAATTTGTGTCGAAGAGCTTGGTAATGGCATAAAACATAAAAATTCAGGAGTTTTAGGTATTTCCCGACGCGCCGTTTAATTAAATCCTTAGTTATTTCACTCGTCGGCGTAAATAAACTTTGATATAAGTAAAATTATCTGACAGTTGACGCGTGAAACAACGGGTATCTACGACAACGTTAAGTATTCCTAGAAAGCAATTGTTTGTGGTTATCTTTTTGTTCTAAAATCGCTAATATATAATTCCTCACGTTTCCGCTACACTCGAAATCGTAATAGCTAAATCATTATTGGTTGTTTCAATAGAAATTGTAAACAACGCCGCCACATGTTGGCGCGATAGAAATTGGCATTTTTAGTTGAACGTGGCTAAATAAAAATATTTTAAAATATGCCGTTCCTATTCCAGTTTTCGCTACTGTTTTATCATTGTTCGTTTCCCAGCGCTCGCGGAAAATTTTCGGAAACTAATTCAATTAATCAAATAGCGATAAATCGGATTTTTCTTTTATCTTCCGCTTAAATTTGTTTGCTGTAGTTAATCCGTTTTCGATTTTTCTCTCTCGTTTATTCACGTGGACACGGACCGGTCGATATGTGGGATTTTCGTTTAAAATTCCCGGAGCGTTAGTTTGATTTTTATTTTCGGAAGCCCAGGTCACTTTTCGCATCATTTTTAGCGATACATTTCTATTCTTTTTCTATTTCTATCGCTGTGTTGTTTTTTCCACTATGCGCCCTATTGTTTTTCGAGACACTGTAAAATATTAGTTTATTCATCAATAATGCTCGGTTTTAAAGTCCCGTAGCCTCAAATATCGTCGAAATTCAATTTAGTCTCAGAAGCCCGATGAAAGATTAAAAATCCGTTAAACTGTCCCTGTGTTTCAATGACAATTCGCAATCGAAATCGAATATAACAAAATCGGTTGATATGTTCGCTTTAAAAATGTAATTCGAACGTTAGTCCTATCAGAGGTCAGTCAAAAGGCATTTGTTTTTAGCGCCAATATCAGGCGCGCGAAGGATTTCAATGGAGGATCAGTCAATAACAAACAATGGACTGCCAGATTTTTTTAAAAATGCCCGGTTTTATTCGGAAACAAAACGACCTGAGAATACATATATTCTAATCGATTAGCATTTTCTGCCGTCAATTTTCTTCGAGTTCGCAACACAAGACTTAAAAATTATCATAAAATTTAGCATACTTGATATTTTTGAACTTTCAGAAAGTAGCCCTTGAATCTTCAACCATAATACAGAAACAAATGCTTTAATTTTTCAAATGTTGGCGTTGTAAAATTATTTTTAACAGTTCTTAAAATCACCATTTCTTATAATTTATAACTACTATTAATTAAGTTCTATCGTTAGCTTCGGAAAACTTCTTTAAGACGCTGTTTGCTTTTGTAATATTGGTTGTGCAAATTGCTTTCAGTCTTCCTGTATACTTAGCTTTCATAAAACACAATATGTCTCATTTACTTGAAAAACTAAATCAAAACTCGACGTACTAACAATTAAATACACAATTTGACAACTGTCAACTTCCTGAAGTTTCGCTAATCATCTTGTTGGCTTCTTCAGAGTTTAAATGAAACTGGTTTGCATGTTACTTTGTACCTACTTATATACTGAACTGAAGGAAGGATATGGAGATATTTAATTAAATTTAAAAAAGTATTATCAACCTAACGTCTCAATAGTTTTGGTTTTAGGAACAAGGAATTTTAGAATCGTGAGGGTTAACAGATTTTTTCACTTTAATGGCTTTAATGGCGGAATTAAATATATAGGATGTCCCATATAAAAGATCAAAACTATTCATTTTTAAAATATTATCGCGAAAGCAGTAAATTATTCGTAAAAGGTTTCTTTCGAAATGTTTTCACAGATAACATAAGAGTTACAGCGATTTTTTTTGAATGCACGTTTTCCAAAAACACTCCGTAACTCTGAAACGGTATTAGATACGCATGCGGGGAGTCCCTTCTAAAAGCGTGCAATTTCGCTGTACATCTTTGAAACTACTATAAAGCTACAGAATCGATAAACAAAGTCTACACCGAGAGCTCAGGTTGCTCAAAACTTTCCAGAAACCACCCGCATTTAATGTTAAAAATAACTCGGATGTTATTTAGACAATGCCCACGTAAACTTAAACCTGAAAACGGAAATCAAAATCTCGCCGTGAAAAACCGCCGTCGTACGTCGGCAACATGTAAGTTTTCTCATGCCATACAAAATACCGAGTGATTCACAGTTATTATGTTCGCTTACCAGTTTATCATAACTTTAATTAATCGACTGAATGGTATTTTAATTTTAGCATGTAAATGTGCTTGTGTACATTCTGGTTTGCGATAACCCTCTTTGATTTCTGCGATGCCGTTTTTCTTTTTATTTTTCCGTGATACTGACCGGGCCGATAACTCGTGTGTCTATCGCCAATTTGTTTGCGCCGCGCTCCTTTTTACTAACCCATGTATAATGGATTCGAATTAAATTCGATGAATTTCCTTGAATTTGTTAAATTTCCTTAAAAGGAAAATACTTCATTTCAATGTATGTCCTAAGCGTCTTAACTTTTGAGATTGTTTTTTTCTAATATTTTCTAAAAAATGATTCTAGATGTCTTTCTGACATTTATTAAATGCATTTTCTACACAAAGAGGGGCTTTTTTCGTCTGGTGAATATGTCCCTTGATTAAAATAATTGTGTGTGTTTTTTTAATATTTTTAGAGTGGACGAGATGTTAATAGGAAATTGAAGGGAAAGGAAATTATTTTATTTACGTACCGTTTCCAAATAAAAATATAAAATCTGAAGTAATGCATAACGAGACAAAAAAATAATTTAATATTTTAATTATTTTAATATATATATAATATTTTAAAAATATTAGTTAATGCATCGTCATCTGATTACTAAAGTCTGGGGTTTTCCTAATTCTTTTCGGAAATCCCCAGTTTGTCTTTTTTTTTCTTTGCTTTTCTGTGCATTTTTGAGCATTCCCAAAAGACCTCGTGAGATATCTATGAATAGATCTTGGACAGATATTATGTAATACCGGAGACGTCGAACCTGGAGATTTCACGTGAATTATAAACAAATTACTATCTGTACAAATATTTTTATGTTTGCCGTAAAAACCGAGTTGACATTGAATTTTACAGCGAATGACGTTTAATTGTTTTTGTGATTTAAAATATTAAAACATTTTAAAATGAAGCTTCTTTTATAACACAATCGGATGTAGGGAAAAAAAAAGTTTTATCCATATTCGTATTTGCAACTTCCAAATATGTGGTTTTCGGTAATACTAATTTCGTTGTATTTAATTGTTCTGCGTTAAAACTTCTAAATAGGCGGGCAGGCTAAATACGTAATTTAAAAGGCCATCTATTTTATCAAGCACTATGCTTAGTTCACTGATTTTCGCGGCACGAGTTTGCATGGAAACAGATAAACCTGAACTGGCATTTTAAATAGCGGTTTAACAAATTTAAAATTGTTTTTCTTGTTTTTTGCAGTTTTTGCAGTTCTATCGCGGCTAGGTTGTGTATCGAATTCCCAATAATTTGCTAAGCCTCGTTTGATGGAAAACCAACGTCGAAAATGACATGACCTCCCCAGAAAAGCGCTTAAAAATCATTGGTTGGAATTAATTTTAATTTTTAAAGTGGACTGCGTTCAAAGTCAACGTAGCGTTCAGAATACGTTATTAAAATAACAATCATCGATCGGTATTTCAGCGTTAATAACGCCGGCATCGCAGTTTATTTTAATAAACCTCACCAATTTCTTACAACGTTCCACCGCATGTTCATTAATAATTTTGTCCGTGGGCTACGAGATGCAATGGTCTAGTAGAATTTTTCTTATTAAACTTTCTTAATCTTTTAGGCGTTGGGATATCGGCTTATTTCAAAAGCGCCCGAAACTGTCCTTGGAATGCGGCGTATTTAATTTTACCTGAAGGCGGTAAACACAGTTGCACCTCTGCTCAATGGAGACCGAGCGTGTTCGTTTCACTCGATGTAAACAAAAGAAAGGAAAAAGAGTGTTTACACTAGTCTCTCTCTTCAACATTGCCACCAAATGCTTTTATCTTTTAACGTATCATCATAATTTTACGAGCGTAATGTTCACCAATTTTTCGGGCCGTTCGGTGATGAAAAAAATATAGGCCCGTGGCAACTTTGATCGTGCATTGAACGAATTCGAAAGCGCCATTACACTCGAGAGGAACTTGATTTTCTATGGCGTACCTGGCGGGCTAGAAAATGACATTGGTGACCTACTATACAACTGTGTTGTGTTGCTTTTAGATAATAAAACGAGCAAATAATGGAACTATCAAGATTATCTGTACTGTCGCTTTGTTATTTTTCTTTTTCTCCCTAGACTTGAAGATGTCGCAATAAGCGTGCTTTAAATAAATATAATTCAGCTTCTACTCTTGTCGAAAATAATCCAATTTAATTTACTCTTTTTTGCCTCTTTCATTGTAGTTTTAATTAATAATTATTAACTAGTAACTAATTATCGTTGCACCAAAAAGCAATTCCGTATGGAAGTTGATCCCAAGAAAACATTTTCGGTTAATTTGTTCTATTAGCAACATTTTTTTAACCTTTATTTTTGACAATGCGTATTTTGAATAAAAGAAACATTAATTCAGACTTCAGCTAAGCGATATGGCACCGAAAAGTATTTAAAACCTGTAGTTAACATCTTAAAACGCGTATTTGAATTGTAGAAAGATTAACTCACGTTCCAACTAATCGATATTGCATCCAGAAGCTACTTTTGTTCAGAAAGAACAAAGTGAGGTTTTAAATCGTTACAATAAGTAGCGGAAACACAGATTTTGACTGAAATCTTATCCCAAATAAAATTAAAAGTTCAGCAGCTTGCGCGATAAAAATAACCGGATTTGTTTGTTGATCTAAGGGCTAATTATTCACCCTTTCCCAGAGGTTAAAATTAGCTTTATGGGTTGTTTACGGTAACGGCAGCGACCGGAAGGAAGACGCCCTATAGTCTCTTGATTGCAACGAATGTCCCTTTTTTTATATCCCGCTGTGTTAAAATTGCAAAAGTTGCTGATAAATTTAACACACGGCAACGTTGATTTTGCGAAGTGAAGACAGAAGAGCAAAGCAGCCTGGTATGCGCACAAATATATTGATTACTGTTTCCAGTTAGACACCGTCTTGGTCCAGTTTCATTTTAGCCACCTTTGAGCGGAGTTACTACCAATTTTGCAAAAAAAGGGCACGATTAAATTTATCAGTACATTCGATTTTGTTAACCCAATCAATTTTCCTACCCCTCTTTAATAAATATTCACGTCTACGTAAGTAGCAGGTAATATTGAATGCATCCTTTGAACATTCTTATAGTTGATGTTGTAAGAATAGAATTTAATTTTTTTCGTAAATGTGTCTGTTTGGGAACACTCGGCTTTCTTTTAGGATCGCTTTTGCACATTTTGGATTTTGTTTTGGGGTTTCGCTTTATTGGAAATTCGACTTAGATATAAAATTGTTTATTGGTGAACAGCCTGAAATTATTTTTACAAACCGATCGATAATGTCACTTTACTAGAACAACATATAAGTATTTCGGCAAAAGCCATGTGGTTAACTGCAGATAGAAAAATAAACTTTTATCGAACGTAATTTCTGCGAATTTGTTTCTGTTTTGGCGACCAAGCTTGTTTAAACGGTTTTCCATGTGTCATATGATGACGACACTAGTAAAGTATAAACAACATGGCGAAATAATGCGAATACCGAATTAGTAATAGCGTTATCTATTGGATGTTAAGGCAATACCGCGATTGCACATTTCCGACAGGGATCGTTCGAGATGGTTTTCATTCTTTTCTCAGGTTAATCCAAGTGTAGTTTATTAACTGGAAAAGGAAACGATTCTGAAATTGTAAGCAAAGAGAAAAAGACGGAGGCAGGAAGGCGGCGGCGTGACTGCATATGCAGGCAGAATGCGGTATTATCGTCGGTCAACTTGCCGCAGTATCTAGGAAATAATATTTTCCGTCTCGGACAAATAATTTTGTACGGTTAGCTCCGTCTGGACGGTGCATTAAACTGAACTCTCGTCGCCTTTTCGAAAGTTCAGGGATTTATTTTTTACAGAACAACCAAAAAAACAACGGGGGTTTCACTTTTAAAGATGCCGACGCGGAAATCGAGGGCAGTGGTTTCGAGGGGGAGGTAAATCGGGACTTGGAGTCGAGCGGATCCGGTGCAGGTCCCGACGATGAAGACAATGAAGATTATTCTCCTCCGGATAGTCGTAAGTGACCGCAGCAAAGTTTTGACGTGGAAAAACGTATTTTCATGATTTGTTGCCTCTGGTATCCGAAAACCGTTAGTATGCATAATAACTGGTGATATTAGCACATTAAAAATTATGCATAAATACTACTAACATTATTAAGTAGCATTGATAATATCTAAGACGTTTCGTTAATATTGATCATAACTAATAAAAAATGCAGGAATTACGCGTACTTTCTAAAACATTTAGTCATTTTTGAATATTTCCTAGTTGAGAGACAATTTCAATTTCTATGTAGCTATGAAGCGTCTGGTCAGGGTGAACTTGATTAATGATTTTACTTCAGGAGCCAAGTTCACCGACTGACTAGTGATGAACAGGTGTTAATGACACAAACTTCTTGTGCAAAGAAATAAATAGTTTTGCAATATCTTGTGGTTAAGTGTGATAAGTATACTTGTACTTTCTATCCTTAATAGCTAGTGATTCGAAGATATGTGTAACTACTAAATGTTCAGGTATTACGCATAATTCTTGTGATTTTTTTCTTTATTACCAATATTAATAATTTAATATTTTGTATTTATGCATAATTCCTAATGTGCTCAATTATTATGCAAAATCAGTTGCCGTAATTACGCATGGTTCCTAAAATAATGACTTGTTATGCATACTAACGGTTGTCTGTCTGTCCTTTTCGACTTTTAAAATATACTGCGTGGCCCTAATTTTAACCTGTTGTTCAAAACTTCCACCCTGATTGGACATCAAAATGTGGTGGAAATCTGACTTGCCCCCTGTTAGGCCTAACGTTTTGTTCACAATGAATTACAAATTGATTCTAATAACAATTTCAGATCCGGGACCACCCGTAGTCGAGGAGGTCCCGAGAAAGATAGTACCAGAAGTAACCCAAGTGGATACCACTAGACGAATCGATAAGGAAACCTTCGCGATTTCACCAACTGAAGGCGGCTCAGACGTCATAATGAATCCGAAATCTGAAGACCGCGCCACTTCGTTCTTTGCTCAACCCGGAATATTAGCAGGTATTGTACTAGTGACAAAGTTAATGGTTCTTTTATTTACCTTAACACTATAAGTGATATCAGTAGACAAATCCTCTTTGCTGGCGTGGCAGCTTTCCTGACCCAAATTAAATTAAAGCTATCACAAACGGAATAGCTTTCGATACAGGTGAACAGGTTGAAAGGTGAAAGGTAAAAACTGATACTTTTCAGTTTTTCTTGTGCAATTTGCGGTGTACGACTTTTAATAATTTATAAGCATATATATTTAATTTTATTTTCTTATAGTAGTTCTTGGAAAATACGGTTTTTAAATATATTCTATTATTTTGTTATATTTTGGGTTAATGTGAGTCATATCAGAAGGAAGGGGAAGCAGAAATTGATATAATAATGACTGTTAAATTAGGAAAACTTACTTTTCCATGGCCTACTCATAAAGAAAAAAAAAATTAAGGAGATAAATGCTTTGTAGTTGAACAAGACTAATAAATTTATTAAAATACATGTGGGAAACGCTAATAAAAAAAACAAATTTAGTTTGTAAATCAAAATTTGTCAAATTCGCAAGAAAACTGACTACACCACTGAATCCTACACAAAATACCATATTATTTACAAATCTTCTAGATTCCTGCGTCGGGTGTTGAATGGAGCAGACGTTTCCCAATCATCCTGTTGCTCTGAAGAAGCCAACAGGGTGATTGGCGAAACGAAGTAGAAGATTTGTAAATAGTATTACAGTACCTTGTGGAAGTTTCTTCGAAAAATTAACCAATCTACACCAGCCTGGATAAGTTGAAGTCACAAACATCACCCTGTATAACAATAAATATGACATTTCAATCATCTTTCATTTCATGATAAAGTAGCCTTGGTAATATAATTTTTGTGTGCTCGTTTTCCAATACATACATACCATGATTTTTCAATATACTCAGCTAAAAAGAAGTAATTGATAGACATAACTATATCTGCTATAAGTAATAAATGACACTTCAACCATCGTCGTAATTAAACACAATTATGGGCTTCTAGTGTAGAATGTACTAATGATGGACCATCAATCAATTTTTCATTTAATTTTATTGGTAATACAGTCGATAATGCGTTTTGCCCTTCCATAATGGTAAAAAGTACCTGAAACTTGCATATTGCAGCCATTTAAATATGTAATAATAATAATAATAATAATAATAATAATAATAAATGTGTGCATCTTAACTGTTTTTTTGTTTCAGCTGTCATCGGTGGAGCAGTGGTCGGGTTATTATTTGCGATTCTAGTAGTGATGTTCATCGTTTACCGAATGCGTAAAAAAGATGAAGGTTCCTACGCGCTAGGCGAGCCGAAACAATCACCGAATTCGAATTCATATAGTAGAGGTACAACTAAGGAGTTCTATGCCTGAAACTAGTGTTAATAATGGACAGTAACTTTGATAAATGACAGGTGGCGCATGGCGAATTTAGGACTGAATCTTCTACTTGGCTTGTAGTCAGATGCTTATTAATGTTTTCGGGGAAAACCTATAAAACTCATTTAACACAAAACGCACATTAAATGTTGCATAGTCAATTCGAATACCCTAATAATTTATATGCAATACCCTCCTTAACTAATTTAGGACGGTTATTATTTATTATTTTAGATTGGAGGAAATTTACGCGAAATCAAAAGATTCGGTCTAATAACTATTGCCAAAAAACTGCCAACAGTGTGAGTGAACAAATAACGTGTACTAAGTACAAACAAAAATTGGTTTTCAAATTTGTCTTAAAATGGATTTAGCTTCATTCATCATATATATCATGAATGTATGTATATATAAATAAATGTAACAGAGAAAAACCTACGTGTTTAACGTCCAATTGTATTTTGGGTATATAGTACAGAGTTTGACTTACAATGTTTTCCGTTTACTTTCGTTTCTATGGGTAACAATAGTTTATTTCTTGACTGGTATACCCCGATATTAATCAGCTTGTACTATATACTTGACACTACCTAATTTAAATTTACTAATTAACGATTAAAGTTAACGTAAGTATAACATATAGTATAGAAGTTACATGAATTTTGCGTCACTACGTGGGATTTTGCCTTTGCTCATTTATGCAGCTATACATTCCTTTATATAATTTTTTTTTGTATTTGTATTTTTTTATACAACATCCCGTTTTCTGCTCTGTTTCCTGGTGATTTTTCGCTTTCTTGATGGATTTGTGAAGGTTGTCTCAACCTTCCACTTATGCCAATATAAAATTTCAAAAGGTCGTTGATTCTCCTCCCTGGTGCTTTTTTAATGCACCATTGGGTTATATTTACTTGAGCAGCTTATGCAAAAAACTCCAGTACAAGGCCAGTGGTATGCTGGCGTCGATTTTTTCTTGTAAATTGCACAAAAGATGCTCTACGAAGTGTATTGGCATAAATTTGAACTTTTGTTTTGTGGTACATACATTATTTTATCTAATGTGTTGACAGATTGTTTATTTATTTAACCTATACATTATCTTATTATCGTTATTATTAAAAACAAATGTATCAACATAATAATACTACTTACAATAACCTTTTTTTAATAAACTGCGTAGCTATTCGGAATCGAAGTGTATAGTATTAGAATAATGTTGTACAATCTGGTTGTAAATAAAATGAAACTTTAAAATTAAAGGTCTTTTATTTTCCCTATCTTTGTCGTTTCATTGTACCAACGTGTCTTGAAGGTAATACCCCTTTTTTTTTTTTTTACTATCGGGTTTCATGAAGTCAAGACGGTAACGTTATATAAATTGTCTGAGCAATAAGGATTTATTGGGATACTGAGTTTTGTAAATAAGGCACATCATTGAAGTAAATCTAATTTTTAGTTCCTATAATGGTTTGTAGTTAGATGGCTGCAGTTGCCTGGCAACACATCTTACACTCTCGCCAATTAATTGAATCGTGCGTACCACGTGGGACTGTTTTGTATGTCAAAGTATTATGGTTTCCAATATTTTTTGTTGTTTATTTGGGATAGGGTTCAAAGTCCACCGTTCCGTTCCAAAGTGTATTTTGTTTTAACTAACATAATTCTATCGATTATTCGGATAACGTTACCTGCTGGCTTTTGAGAGTTCTGTCGAAAAATTACCTTCAATTTCGGAAAAATGTTTCGTGTGGCACGTTTGATTTTAGAAAATCCGCTCAAGACGCAAAAGTGCATTGTGAGGTGGTTACTAATAACTTATTGAACCCTGATAATAAATTTTTATATTTATAAAATATGGTTGTAGATGTGTATGCTTGAGTAGTAACCCTAGAGCAGTGGCAAAACCAGCAGAAGTCCCTAAAGCGAAAGCAGCTCCTGAGGAAAATTCGTCTTTTGTAATGAACATCTTCCGTGGCCAGGTAGATGGACGAGAAGTATTTCCATTTCCAGATGTTCTCACGGAGGAGCAGAGAGATACATTACAGATGTTGGTTGACCCTGTTACCAAATTCTTTACAGTAAGTGAAAATTATTCCATATAATGCAATTTTACAGAAAAGCTTAATTAAAAGGAAATCAACAACCCTAGCAAAAACGATGAGTTGGAGAAAATTGAAGATAAATCTTTGGCCGCTCTTTGGGAATTGGGCGCTTTTTCGATACAAGTGCCGCCAGAGTATGGTGGCCTAGGTCTTACCAATACACAGTATGCTAGACTTGTTGAAATTGTTGGGGCTAATGACCTAGGGGTTGGCATTACATTGGGAGCCCACCAATCTATCGGATTTAAAGGAATTTTGTTGTATGGCACACCAGAGCAGAAGGCGAAATATTTGCCTCGGGTGTCAAATGGAGAATATGCATCATTTTGTTTAACTGAGCCTTCTTCTGGGTCAGATGCAGGCTCCATTCAATCTCGAGCTGTATTGTCACCTGACGGCACACATTACATTTTAAATGGTTCTAAAATATGGATAAGCAATGGTGGATTTGCAGAAGTGATGACAGTCTTTGCCCAAACACCAGTTCAAGATCCAAAGACGGGCAAAACTGTAGATAAAGTGACCGCCTTCATTGTGGAAAGAGGTTTTGGTGGTATTACCAGCGGACCACCAGAAAAGAAAATGGGCATTAAATGCTCAAACACAACTGCAGTAAGTTAACATTTGTACTATTGCGATTTATGTTAAACAGCTAATATATTTTATGTTTTTACCAGATTTACTATGATAATGTGAAAATACCAGCTGAAAATGTCTTGGGAGGAGTAGGCAACGGATTCAAAGTTGCAATGAATATTTTAAATAATGGTAGATTTGGAATGGCCGCGGCCCTATCTGGCACAATGAAATCATGCATTCAGAAGGCTGTGGAATTCGCTACCCAACGTAAACAGTTTGGTCAAAGGATTGATAGTTTTGGAAGTATTCAAGAAAAAATTGCTCGAATGGCAATGCTGCAATACATTACTGAGTCAATGGCTTATATGATATCTGGAAACATGGACAGGGGATCCGACCATTACCACTTGGAAGCAGCAATATCAAAGGTGATTTATTCATCTCATGAGAAGACCTAGTTTTTCTTTTTATATAATTTTAGTGTTTTGCTTCTGAATCGGCGTGGTATGTATGCGACGAAGCTATTCAAATTATGGGTGGTATGGGATTTATGAGAGAAACAGGTTTGGAAAGAGTAATGAGAGACTTGCGAATATTTAGGATATTTGAGGGTGCCAACGATATTCTTAGGTTGTTCATAGCTTTAACGGGAATACAGTATGCCGGAGCACATCTTAAAGAATTGCAAAATGCATTTAAAAATCCCACCGCTAACTTGGGTTTAATATTTGAAGAAGCTTCTAAGCGGGTTGTGAGAAAAGTTGGATTAAGCGCACCTCCTGCTATGGAACATTTAGTCCATAAAGATTTGAGCCATTCAGCAGGAAACATTGCTAAAGTATAGATTTTAATTGTTTAACAAATTTAAATTTGATTAATCACCAATTTTTAGAGTATTGATTCATTTGGACAATCAATTGAAATGGTGCTTATAAAATATGGTAAAAGCATAGTCAATGAGCAATTTATTTTAAACAGGCTCACAAATTGTACTTTTGATATTTACACAAGCGTCGTGGCACTCTCTAGAGCCAGTACAGCGCTAAATTCAAATTTAGAAACTGCTCAACATGAAAAATTGATGGCTGAAGCGTGGACCTTGGAAGTTAGTTTCAAAAATTTGAAACAAGTTTCCGTATTGATTATTATTTTTTTTTTTTAGGCCGCCCAGAGAGTAGCTGCAAATCTGAAGATCGTTTCGGCTGGTAAAAACTTGGATAACTTTACAAAAATGAGCGCCATATCTAAAAATGTATGTTCAGCTGAGGGTGTTGTCCAACTTAATCCTTTAAAATTGTAAATAGCAAAAGAGAATTGTGGTTTATTTATTATTAATAACTAAATTTTTTATAATTGTAAGTAGGTTTTGTGTGTACTTGAATTGAAAAAATAATATACCTACTTTTTTATTTTTTATATTGGTGGTTTTCTTTTCTGGGACATACTATTTATTCTATAAAAATTTGTAAATGTTAAAAGGTGCCATTTTATAGTAAACAAAACCAAATAATTTCGTGAGAAGACAATTAAGTAATTCTTAAATTAGTTTGGTTCATTTGGATCGGTGACAGATCACCGTCAGGTGTTTCAGGTTCTAACCTCAATGGTGTGTAGCAGTTGTTTTGTTTGTGACGGACTTGAAACGTCAAAAGAGTTGAAAATCATCTGATATAGACATACAAATATTGGTGGTTTTACCATTTAATAACAATTATTGCGGTTTTAGAAATTTTAGAAAACTATTGAACACAAAGCATTTCAGCTTTGTTGTATAATATTGAAAATGAAGAACAAATTGTTATTTGTGTATTTTCTTAAATGTTTTGCAAATTTTGTTGATGCTGCTGCTTCCGACATCCAATTAGACGCAAAAGCACAATCTACTCATCGGATAGACAGTTTAAATTTGCTATCCTACACTCTTTTGTTGATATTGACTGTGCTGACAATTTGGCTGTTCAAACATCGCAGGGTTAGTTTCCTGCATGAAACAGGTCTGGCTGTTATATATGGTAAATAAGTATAGTTTAAAATAAATGTACCATAACAATATTATTTTAAGGTTTAATTGTGGGTGCAATCATTCGCTATTGTGGCAGTTCATCTCAGTTGCTCAATTTGGATGTATATACAAATCAAACTCAATATAACTCCAGTCTACCACCTGATACGCTGTCCCTACATCTTCCAAAACCAAATTCTAAAACCAATACAACATATCAATATGTATTTCGCAATGAAATTGATAATGTTCAAGAAAATCTTATTGATCTAAAAGCAACGTTCGATCCAGAAATATTTTTTAATATTATTCTACCTCCTATTATATTTCATGCTGGATATTCTCTAAAAAGGGTGAGTTCATTCGAGGTCCAACCTACTGGTTTAAATATGCCAACAGTGACGACTATAAGTTAATCTATTTTTTATGTAGTTACACTTTAACAATTTGGAATCTTGTATCTTCTGCATGATTAAACTTAAATTTTATAGCAGCATGCATATTCCTACCTGACTAACTCTTTTTTGTAAGTTGTAGAACGTTTCTCAAAGAAATATGCTATTCAGGTAATATTGTGCACATTAATGCCTTGGTGCTTTTTCAGAAATACTTTTTTCGTAACCTTGGTGCCATACTAACTTTTGCAATAATCGGCACCACAGTCTCCTCTTTCATTGTCGGTGGACTGATGTATGGTTGTGTTCAACTTATGCCTGCAAGACTGGCGGCAAGCTTTACATTTTTAGACACACTGTATTTTGGAGCTCTAATATCCTCTACTGACCCACTGACAATCCTAGCAATCTTTAACGACCTGAATGTAGATGTTAATCTGTACGCTTTAGTATTTGGTGAAAGCGTTTTAAACGATGCTGTTGCTATTGTGCTTAGCGGGTAAGAATTTTTAATGTTGCCAGAACTATTGCTAACGCAATATTCATTTACAGATCTATTCAGCATTATGGCAAGAGATACCAACTTGGAACAGGAGGATTTGAAATTAAAGCATTTTTTCAAGCTGTGGGAGATTTTTGTGGAATATTTATGCTTTCTTTATTAATTGGAGCATCAATGGGTTGTATTACAGCATTAATATCCTTTCTATGGTTTGAAAAAATCTTGGAACAGATGTAAAGTCTGCCCCAGTTTTGTTAAGTAATTTCCCTTAATAAAGATTACATGACTAAGTATACGAGAGTGAGAGACTTTCCGCTGCTGGAGTCCGCATTGTTTGTGTTGATGTCCTACAGCACATTTTTGATTGCCGAGGCCTCCGATCTGACAGGCGTAGTGGCTGTACTGTTTTGTGGAATTTGCCAAGCCCATTATACATACAACAATCTCTCGGACGACTCGAGACTTAGGACGAAGCAGATATTTGAATTGCTCAATTTTTTGGCGGAGAATTTTATATTTTCCTACATAGGAGTGTCCATGTTTACATTCCCAAAACATCACTTTGACCCGCTTTTTATATTAACGGGTTTTGTATCCTTTTTATAAACGAATTACCACAACTGAAACACTTTGCGGAAACTTTTCTTAACATCTGGTGTAGATTTGCGCTGCTCTAGGCAGAGCGGCTAACGTCTATCCTCTCTCATTCCTATTAAACTTGGGAAGGCATCCGAAAATTCCCTCAAATTTTCAGCACATGCTTTTTTTTGCGGGTAAGGGATTATCAGATAAGGATAGATTCATGAAAATTTTCCCAAAATATTGCAGGTTTAAGGGGTGCCATGTCGTTTGCTTTAGCTATTAGAAATACCAGATCTGAGGCAAGACAAGCGATGCTAACAACAACTTCTTTAATTGTAATAGTAACAGTGATAATACAAGGAGGCGCTACGATGAATCTGCTGCGATGGTTGCAAATTCCGTAAGTTTTTTTTTTTTTTTTTGATTGTTGTACCTGCGATGAAGTTGTTCTTCAATGTCTAGGTTAGGGATAGATGAAGAAACAGAAGCTTTGTCCGTGAATGACCATCATAGTGTAAGTTTCCTTTGTATTATCAATTTAAGGGTGTAGAAGGTTTAAATTGTCCTTACCGAATAGGTATACAATTCTATGGAGAGGGGCTCTGGGGTATGTAGTTTCTTTATTCGAATGTGCATATGCTACAAACTAAATATTCTGCATGGTTATTGTGTTAAAAAAAATCAAGTCCTAAAAGTATAATAATGATGATGAATTTGCTTAGGGTATCACCCCAAGGGGAGAATGGACGGATTTAAACAGATCCGGCCAGCCAAAATCTAACGGCAACGACAAAGCTGTTTTAGCAAGAGTTTGGGGATCTTTTGATACGAAATACATGAAACCCTTGCTCACCCATTCCCGACCTACTCTCTTGGAAACTTTGCCAGTATGCTGTAACCCTTTGGCGAGGCTCCTAACAACTACGGAGCAGATGACTCAGGTAATCTTTTCTTTTCCGAACGTACTATCAGGTAATAATTATGTTCTAGGAAAATCAAAACAGAGTGAATTGCGATTCTGACTCTGAGATTTGCATAGAAGAGAGTGATTTTTCTAGCTCAATGAGACTTAATACCAAAGTAAGGGTAGGGTATATGGTGGAACATGTTAACTAAGATTTGCAAGCAATTTGTGTGTCTTGTGATTTCAGCCAATTAATGCCATCAGCGGACATCAAGTTTAGGGAAACCGAATGGCCGGCGGAATACTTATTTTTATCTAGTCACTGCAAATATATTCCAGCATCTTAATTTTTATCTCATTGGAATGTTTAAATATCGTTTAAAATGTTTGTTGTTTATGATGTTTTGTTGTTAAGGTAAATTAGGGTGAAAAAAATATTGATCTTGGTCAGCAGTATTATAAATCGGTAATAAACTTAATAAGAAGACTTCGCTATAATGTACTTGTTTTTAAAGTGATGCGTCATGTTTACAATAATTTTAAATATGTTTATACTCTTCAACGTTTTTAAACGAGTACTTACTGCTTTCTGGCTGTTTTATTAAGTAAAGTAATGTAAAAATGGTTAACAATTAATGGATAAGTAATTTTTCAATTTGAACCAAAAATGTGGAATCAGGGCATCTCGGTATCTGTGATAAATTAGTTCGGATTTATTTCAATTTTATCCATTCAGTCTTAATAAGATTCTCTTACATCCTAATAAAAAATATATTTTGTTGATTACGCGACTTAACTGTATTACTGTTTGGGATTACCGTTCCTTATTTTTCCTTAAAATTGTATTTTTTGAATTTCTTCAGTAAAGGTGTTATTGAAACTGTTGAAAGAGTTTTTTATTACAGGAAAATAAAATTTTCCCGAATTGCGTTTGAGAACAACAAAGTACTCACCCAGAGTACATTGACCTATTTTAACTGACATACGAATATTGGAGACCGCGTCACACGTGTAATTAACGGGAAGGTGTTATGAATTATTCTGCACAGTGATATCCCGGATGAAAACGTCTGCCACATTAAGTGATGTCACCTTTAAACACATTTTTTTAATCCATGTGAACTGCATAATATAAACAAAAGGTGCGATTATTAATCTAGTGGTAATTATTTGGGTAAACAGTTAACGGGGAATTTTAACGTGACTCGGAGTTGTTCCACGCATTGGTAAGAAGTGTTTTACTGATCAAAAATGTGATGAATAAAATGCGGGTAATAGTTTTTATCTGTAATTTGTTGTTGCATCGGGTATCCGCCCAAATAATCGCGGAAGACGAAAATGGATATACTTTTATCAATAAAGTAAGATTTCCATATTCTGCCTACTATGATCCGTTTGTAGGGGTGAGTATCGAGTTTTTTTATTTGAAATTAGTAAAAACTTTTGCTTTAACTACTTCGTTTATCCTGTTTCTTTAGTTAATAATGGCATTTGCTCTGGAGCTAACGGATTCGCCGTACGACGGAGAATTTGCTTGGAGTTTTGAATTTAACTACTACCTACCGCAAAACGAAAGTAAATATACTTTTCCGCCAATAGCTGGCGAATCGACTGCGGAAAGAGGATTTTTAGATAGAACTACTCTGTACGAAATGGTTGAAAGAAAAATAGATGTGTAAGGACGTCACTTACGTTGTTCAGCCAATAATTTACCTGCCCATGTAGTTTTAGCGAAAACTTTGGTGGCGAACTTTGCTTTTTGAGGATGATCTGCGAGATGACTTGTAACAGTACCAAAGATACGGATGTTCTGGGAGATATAATGCACATATTACTAAGGTGGAGTATTTAACATTAATTTGTTCAGGTTCTGATAGCCGTGGCAATGTAGTGTGAAGATTTCATTTAGAAGGGATTTTTTCCAAAATTGTTTTAGTGCGTTTTTCTAAAATCTGACAACGAGGTAGTTTTTACTCTCGAAAGCGCTTAGATCTAAGTCTTTTTTCGGGTTTCCATTTTACAATTACAAAATTTTTATAGTTATTATTTTAGCCCATCGTCCTCAGTGAATAAAAATTTACCAAAGAAATATTACAATGCAGAGTTGTACGGCAAAAAGCACGGATACTGTACCAAATATATAAAAAAATGCCCCATAAATCTGCTAGCTATCTTTACTAGATTTGGGAAATATCTGGAAAATAAATTAACTAATTGAAGGCTACGACTTTTCTTTAATACCCCATTATACATTCAATTCATCCTACTACAATTTTCATCAAATATAAACGTAAATATACCACTTGTATTGCAACTTATGATACTTAATATAATGTATTCATTAAACTTGTATTTTATTTTATAAGTTTACGACATGCATCGCAACAATGGGCGGAGCACTGCGAACGCAGCAAAAATATCAATAAATTCAAAACCCTTAGCTTCTAAATAGGTTCACTCATCGGATTGGTATTTTGAGAGCGTACACGCGCTTGGCACAGGGAGTAAAAGAGCCAATCCTCTTCCTTTAAAGATCAGCCAACTAATTCCTGGAATAAAAACATATTTCATTCTAATTTCGTCTAAGCCAAAAAGCAAACGCACTAATAATGACGAAAAGCAAAGTTAAAATTATCAAATTTGGAACATCGGTTTGTAATTGGCATTTAGGTAAGAATTGGTAAGCTTTTAATAGAACGTAAAGAAATTCTGTACTGACCGTAGAGATACCCTTCGTTGAGTTTTTTTCTGCTATGAAAATATTGGCGAATTTTACGATCATTAGTGATAGGCAATTATTTTGAATATGCGCGAACTAGTTCCTGCAACAAAAAAAATCTAGACCAAAATTCTACCTCGTGACAAAAAAATAAATAAATAAAAAATATAGATGCTCCGTGGGTCGACTGTCTGCGATGAATTTTGTCTAAGCGATTTTTACCATATAAATGACAGACAACAAAAAAAGTCTTGTCTATCAAAAATATAGGTATAAATCACCAAACGTAATTAAGTCGCTCCCTTCGAGCACGCGCGAACTTATTCCTGCAACAAAAAAAACAATCGAAACAAAAATTCCACTAAATTCTTCAGGCTTCTTTGCTAGCATGAATAAGAAACTACGAAAATGCTAAAATTGCAGAAGTAAAAATTAAATTGGGTATATTTCCAGCGTTGAATATATTAACAATTTCTTCCGAATTAGTGACTTAGAAGAATCTGTTCCCTAGGTCAAAAATACGGTAAAAATCATTAACACGGAATTATTTTGAATATGCGCGAAGTAGTCCTGCAACAAAAAAAATCAAGAATAAATAAATAAAAATTATAGATGCTCCATGGGTTGACTATCTGCGATGAATTTTGTGTAAGCGATTTTTAACCTATAAATGACAGACAACAAAAAAAATCTTGTCAATCAAAAATAGGGGTATAAATCACCAAACGTAATTAAGTCGCTCCCTTCGAGCACGCGCGAACTTATTCCTGCAACAAAAAAACAATCGAAACAAAAATTCCACTAAATTCTTCAGGCTTCTTTGCTAGCATGAATAAGAAACTACGAAAATGCTAAAATTGCAGAAGTAAAAACTAAATTGGGTATATTTCCAGCGTTGAATATATTAACAATTTCTTCCGAATCAGTGACCTAGAAGAATCTGTTCCCTAGGTCAAAAATACGGTAAAAATCATTAACACGGAATTATTTTGAGTATGCGCGAAGTAGTCCTGCAACAAAAAAAATCAAGAATAAATAAATAAAAATTATAGATGATCCATGGGTTGACTATCTGCGATGAATTTTGTCTAAGCGATTTTTACCATATAAATGACAGACAACAAAAAAAAGTCTTGTCAATCAAAAATAGGGGTATAAATCACCAAACGTAATTAAACCGCTCCCTTCGAACTTATTCCTGCAACAAAAAAACAATCGAAACAAAAATTCCACTAAATTCTTCAAGCTTCTTTGCTAGCATGAATAAGAAACTACGAAAATGCTAAAATTGCAGAAGTAAAAATTAAATTGGGTATATTTCCAGCGTTGAATATATTAACAATTTCTTCCGAATCAGTGACCTAGAAGAATCTGTTCCCTAGGTCAAAAATACGGTAAAAATCACTAACACGGAATTATTTTGAATACGCGCGAAGTAGTCCTGCAACAAAAAAAATCAAGAATAAATAAAAAAAATTATAGATGCTCCATGGGTTGACTATCTGCGATGAATTTTGTCTAAGCGATTTTTACCATATAAATGACAGACAACAAAAAAAAATCTTGTCAATCAAAAATAGGGGTATAAATCACCAAACGTAATTAAATCGCTCCCTTCGAGCACGCGCGAACTTATTCCTGCAACAAAAAACAATCGAAACAAAAATTCTACTAAATTCTTCAGGCTTCTTTGCTAGCATAAATTAGAAAAAATAAATCAAGAATAAATAAATAAAAATTATAGATGCTCCATGGGTTGACTATCTGCGATGAATTTTGTCTAAGCGATTTTTACCATATAAATGACAGACAACAAAAAAAAGTCTTGTCAATCAAAAATAGGGGTATAAATCACCGAACGTAATTAAATCGCTCCCTTCGAGCACGCGCGAACTTATTCCTGCAACAAAAAACAATCGAAACAAAAATTCCACTAAATTCTTCAGGCTTCTTTGCTAGCATGAATAAGAAATTACGAAAATGGTAAAATTGCTGACGTAAAAATTAAGTTGGGTATATTTCCAGCGTTGAATATATTAACAATTTCTTCCGAATCAGTGACCTAGAAGAATCTGTTCCCTAGGTCAAAAATACGGTAAAAATCATTAACACGGAATTATTTTGAATATGCGCGAAGTAGTCCTGCAACAAAAAAAATCAAGAATAAATAAATAAAAATTATAGATGATCCATGGGTTGACTATCTGCGATGAATTTTGTCTAAGCGATTTTTACCATATAAATGACAGACAACAAAAAAGTCTTGTCTATCAAAAATAAGGCATAAATCACCAAACGTAATTAAGTCGCTCCCTTCGAGCACGCGCGAACTTATTCCTGCAACAAAAAAACAATGGAAACAAAAATTCCACTAAATTCTTCAGGCTTCTTTGCTAGCATGAATAAAAAAATTACGAAAATGCTAAAATTGCAGACGTAAAAATAAAATTGGGTATATTTCCAGGGTTGAATACATTAACAATTTCTTCCAAATTAGTGACCTAGAAGAATCTGTTCCCTAGGTCAAAAATACGGTAAAAATCACTAACATGGGATTGTTTTGAATATGCGTGAAGTAGTCCTGCAAAAAAAAATTAAGAATAAATAAATAAAAATTAAAAAAAAAAAACCAAAAATAGGGGTATGATTCACCAAACATAATGAAATCGCTCCCTTCGAGCACGCGCGAACTTATTCCTGCAACAAAAAAACAATCGAAACAAAAATTCCACTAAATTCTTCAGGCTTCTTTGCTAGCATGAATAAGAAATTACGAAAATGGTAAAATTGCTGACGTAAAAATTAAGTTGGGTATATTTCCAGCGTTGAATATATTAACAATTTCTTCCGAATCAGTGACCTAGAAGAATCTGTTCCCTAGGTCAAAAATACGGTAAAAATCACTAACACGGAATTATTTTGAATATGCGCGAAGTAGTCCTGCAACACAAAAAAAATCAAGAATAAATAAAAAAAATTATAGATGCTCCATGGGTTGACTATCTGCGATGAATTTTGTCTAAGCGATTTTTACCATATAAATGACAGACAACAAAAAAAGTCTTGTCTATCAAAAATATAGGTATAAATCACCAAACGTAATTAAGTCGCTCCCTTCGAGCAAGCGCGAACTTATTCCTGCAACAAAAAAACAATCGAAACAAAAATTCCACTAAATTCGTCAGGCTTCTTTGCTAGCATGAATAAGAAACTACGAAAATGGTAAAATTGCTCACGTAAAAATTAAATTTTGTATATTTCCAGCGTTGAATACATTAACAATTTCTTCCGAATTAGTGACTTAGAAGAATCTGTTCCCTAGGTCAAAAATACGGTAAAAATCACTAACACGGAATTGTTTTGAATATGCGCGAAGTAGCCCTGCAACAAATAAATCAAGAATAAATAAATAAAAATTATAGATGCTCCATGGGTTGACTATCTGCGATGAATTTTGTGTAAGCGATTTTTACCCTATAAATGACAGACAACAAAAAAAAGTCTTGTCAATCAAAAATAAGGCATAAATCACCAAACGTAATTAAACCGCTCCCTTCGAGCAAGCGCGAACTTATTCCTGCAACAAAAAAACAATCGAAACAAAAATTCCACTAAATTCTTCAGGCTTCTTTGCTAGCATGAATAAGAAACTACGAAAATGCTAAAATTGCAGAAGTAAAAATTAAATTGGGTATATTTCCAGCGTTGAATATATTAACAATTTCTTCCGAATCAGTGACCTAGAAGAATCTGTTCCCTAGGTCAAAAATACGGTAAAAATCACTAACACGGAATTATTTTGAATATGCGCGAAGTAGTCCTGCAACACAAAAAAAATCAAGAATAAATAAAAAAAATTATAGATGCTCCATGGGTTGACTATCTGCGATGAATTTTGTCTAAGCGATTTTTACCATATAAATGACAGACAACAAAAAAAAATCTTGTCAATCAAAAATAGGGGTATAAATCACCAAACGTAATTAAATCGCTCCCTTCGAGCAAGCGCGAACTTATTCCTGGAACAAAAAAACAATGGAAACAAAAATTCCACTAAATTCTTCAGGCTTCTTTGCTAGCATGAATAAAAAAATTACGAAAATGCTAAAATTGCAGACGTAAAAATAAAATTGGGTATATTTCCAGGGTTGAATACATTAACAATTTCTTCCGAATTAGTGACCTAGAAGAATCTGTTCCCTAGGTCAAAAATACGGTAAAAATCACTAACATGGGATTGTTTTGAATATGCGTGAAGTAGTCCTGCAAAAAAAAAATAAGAATAAATAAATAAAAATTTAAAAAAAATAACCAAAAATAGGGGTATGATTCACCAAACATAATTAAATCGCTCCCTTCGAGCACGCGCGAACTTATTCCTGCAACAAAAAAACAATCGAAACAAAAATTCCACTAAATTCTTCAGGCTTCTTTGCTAGCATGAATAAGAAACTACGAAAATGCTAAAATTGCAGAAGTAAAAATTAAATTGGGTATATTTCCAGCGTTGAATATATTAACAATTTCTT